TGTGGTGTGCAGAAAGAAAGTGAATTACAGAACATGCAGTTCTTGAGCAAGAACTACTCATGTTGTGGAAGCACTTAAGCAATTCCGAGGGGGATTAACTGTTCTGTGGAGCAGAGTCTCACTGCCTTGCTTAAGACACCCTGCATGAAATAAAACCATTTTGGGGAGACAATCCTCAGAGGGAAATAGTGAGAAATAGAGAATACCCATCATTGACATGTGTGCCATGCAGTGATCAGAACTTGGCAGTGCCAGAACCCGCACTGTGCTGCGTGCGGAGGAGGCGAGGGATRATGAGAAGGTGAAATACAAAAAGTGCCCATCCTTGTAGACCAGGGACACCTTGGCATGGGAGCAGTAGGAAAGGACATCACGGCTGTGTCTCTGGGGGTCCTGCGAACTGGTGGGGTGCCAGAGGGGGCTCACAGAATCACAGAATCAATCACATTGGTAAAACCTCTGAGATCGAGTCCAACCTGGACCAAACACCACCTTGTCAACCACACCATGGCACTGCATGCCATGTGCAGTCACTTCCTGAGCACCTCCAGGGACGGTGACTCCAACCTGGGCACTCATTCTAATGTTTAATCGCATTTTTCAAAAAGAAAATCTTCCTGATGTGCAACCTAAACCTCCCCGGTGCAGCTCTCCTCTCATCCTGCTGTTGTTACCTGGGGGTAGAGCCKGACTCTCACCTGTGAGAGAGAGGTCACCCCGGAGCTTCCTCTTCCAGCATTTGGAGGGCTGGGKGGGAGAAAAAAATATGGAACGCTTCACGAATTTGCGTGTCATCCTTGCGCAGGGGCCATGCTAATCTTCTCTGTATCGTTCCAATTTTAGTATATGTGCTGCCGAAGCGAGCACGAATCKKTGAGTYGTCCCGTGTTGTTTTATAGCCCCAGAGTCCGCGCTCCGCAAGGTCAGGGTGACCGAGAATGAAACAAGATAGCGCTGCCGGTGGGAGCAGCAGCAGCCGTACACAGCACCGTGCCGAACCGAGGGTCTGACGGGCCGGCGGCGGTGGAGGGTGGGGAGACAGAGCCCAAATCCGCCATAACCCGAGTTATGCAAATTAGCCCGCTGTAGTAAATACGCGCAAAGCATTGTGGGGCGGGGCGGTACCGGGCGCTCCTCGCGGAGCCGTTCCTTATCAATGAGGTCCGAGGGGCCGCCGGGCGGTGTTCGGCGCTGAGCAGCTGGGCYGTGTGACACCTTTCTGTGGCGACACATCGGTGGTTCGAACCTAAATTAGTTAATATTGGTCACCTGTGGCGATATGCGTGCAGTTGAAGCCATTTGTTATTTCACAGGATCACAGAACCGTTCGGGTCGGAGGGCCCTCTAGAGATTAGGCAGTTCATCCCCCTGCCAAGGCTGGGCCACCTGAAGCAGGTGACACAGGAACGCGCCCTGCTGGGTTCGAATGTCTTCAGAGAGGGAGACTCCGCAGCTCCCTGAGCCGCTGTTCCAGTGCTCGCCACCCTCAGGGGCAAGTTCTTCCTCCTGCTGAGGTGAAACCTCTTGTGTTCCAGTTAATGACCATTGGTCCTTATGTTTTTCGGGTGTATCTCCGGCACACGGCAGCTGTAGCGGGACCCCGTGGGTGCAGGGACGGGGAGGGAACACATCCATACAGCGAATCGAACAGAGCCAGGACCGTATTGCGTTACTGGTTCTAAGGTGGGGCGAGACACCTCCTTCATAGGAGCAGCAGAGTGGCGCAGCGGAAGCGTGCTGGGCCCATAACCCAGAGGTCGATGGATCGAAACCATCCTCTGCTAGCTACGGTTTTTTTTTCTCCCTTTTCCTCTTTCCGGTGCAGCGCCTGGCGGCTCCGTGCTTTCTGCTGGTCCCTTTTGGGTGTGGGGAGCAGTGGTGCTGCGGGCGCGAGGACAGTTGTTTTTCCTAAATTATTTTGGGAACATGCAGTGTAACGGTGCGAGTAAAGGACGGACAGTGCACAGCAGTGCAAAGTCTACAACCTTTTTTATAGTACGATTTGAAGTTTTCATAGAATGACAGAACGGTTTGGGTTGGAAGGGACCCTTCAAGGCCATTTAGTCCCACCCCTTGCCATGGTCAGGGACAGACCAGGCTGCTCAGAGCCCGGTCCAACCCGCCTTTGAATGTTTCTAGGGATGGGGCATCCGCCACCCCTCTGGGCATCCTGTGCCAGTGCCTCAGCACGCTTGTGGTAAAAAGTTTCTTCTCTTTGTTAAAAGCTCCCGTATATATTAAAAGGTCACAACGTCCCCCTGGAGCCTTCTCTCCTTCAKGCTGAACGACCCCAGCTCYCAGCCTTTCCTCACAGAAGAAGTGCTCCAGCCCYCTGAGCATCTTCATGCCTTCGTCTGGACCCGCTCCAGGAGGTCCATGTGTTTAATTAGGCATGAAAATCTCATTGCATCCATTTGTAGTTTCTGCCTGTCTTGCCTGTTTAAATGAAACATWGTGGCAATGTCAAATATAGCACGCAGASTGTCAGCACAAAACGCAGCAAAGCAAAATGAAAACAAAAACGGGATGTAAAAGTCAGTGCACGTGGTGTTGTAAGTCTGTATTCAGCTTCTGGATCGCATGATCTGAGGGAACAGCCCCGTGAACTTAATGACACAATGCTCCTCAATGGGCATTGTTTTCAGGGCTGTCAAGTGTGAGAAACAGCGCAATTCTTACATGGRATTAGTAGGTGCAGAATACACGGAAGAAAAACAATGCAAGGATTTTAGGATTTTAGTTACACATCCATAGAACAATTTTATAAATTGTTTTTGCTGCATTTGGCTCAGTAGGCACGGCTCGGGAAGTCACGTTGTGCGGTTCCATGGTGTAATGGTTAGCACTCTGGACTCTGAATCCAGCGATCCGAGTTCAAATCTCGGTGGAACCTTACTGTTTTTGCCGGGGCAGAAGCGTGGAAAATCACTTTAAGGCGTTTTTCATGCACTGTCGGAATGCCATAAATATCCCATGCTATCCCAKGGGATATCTATCTGAGGTAGACSACTAAGCAATGGTAGAATTTTTCTGAYTTTTTTCCCGCATATCTMAATACTTTYTGCAGTCAGGTTAGGATTTTCTGACGCAAATTATCAGAAAACTCTCAGGCATGTCACAGAATATTTTTTTCTTTTCATTTCTATGCTTTAAATTGCCTGTGTGGAAACACAGTTCTAAATTGTGCATCAGCAAAGTGCAGCTGCTGAGCTCTGGAGCAGGGATGAAGTTTTGGGGTGTCTCTGATAGCAGGTGTTCTCCCAGAGTTCATATTTGCTTTCTGCCTTCATTATACCAGGGGTGACCTTATTGTGGCCTCCCAGTGCTCAGTGGGGCTCCAAGAGAGCTCGAGAGGKRCTTAGGACAATGAACCGGAGTGACAGAACAAGGGRGAATGACAKGGSRTATTGGAAAGGRACTCTTCCCTGGGAGGGTGGTGYKGCCCTGGCACAGGTCGCCCRRGGAAACTCCATCATGGGGAACATTCAGGGGCAGGTTGGACAGGGTTTGGAGCAAYCTGGGATAGTGGAAGAATCCCTGCCYATGGCATGGGGTYGGSACTGGATGATCTTTACGGGCTCTTTCAAMCAATCATTCCACGATTCCGTGAAGACAACGAATATTGCAGAAACTCAGAACAAACATGAATATTGAGGTCATATTAGATTCCTGTCGGTTATCGCAGACACAAAGATAAAAAAGAGCGATTTTCCAGGGGGATTCGTGTGCTATGGATTTATTAGCAGTGCTAGCAGGCACAAAAGGCACCTTCCGGTTCTATGGTGTAATGGTCAGCACTCTGGACTTTGAATCCAGCGATCCGAGTTCAAATCTCGGTAGAACCTGCCTCAGGTCTCCCTTTTGCTGCGGCAGGGGCAGACCCGACGAAGATGAAGCTCCAGCTCAGCGCCAAAGGGTTTCCYTGACCTGAACTGTGTCAGGCTCTTCTCAGTTTTCTTCAATGCAATCAATTTGACAAAAGACTTCAATYATTCCTACTACTTTTAAATTTAATTGTATTTTATTGCTGTTTTTACATTAAGTATTTTTGAGGGGAGCAAAAAAAGGCATCTACACTGTGGAAAATTTCATCAGGTAAATGTGCAGAATTTGGACATTATTTTTCAGTKGCACCCAACTACTSACTTGGAAAGTAAGGGCAGAAATGCAGTGTTTTTGGAGTGGATATAATCTCACAGATTGAACTCTGCACCAGTTAAATGGATATTCCCTCTGCTTTGCTGACACAAACCCTCAGTAGTTATTTTTCATTTCCAGGGTAGCTAAGGACATCTTATCACCTTGGCTCCCCTTCTCCAAACCTGTCCTACCAGTCACTTGTTTACACAGCAACAGGAACAACYCTGCTCTGTGCCAACARCTCCTCCTCCTCMTTTTCCTYTGGCCAGGTAACCCTGCCTTCCTGTCCCCTTGAAAAAAAAACCCAGCCACCTTCAGATGGAGTTATTATTTAGTAGAAAACCAGGTCCCAGCTAGTCAAGAAAACATAAGGAAATGTTTGCTCAATTAATTAAATTTTCACACAACCTACTGATGTAAAAAGTCCCTTGTCTGCGTCAGGGCTTATTTTCATCCTTTCCCCAACGGTTGGATCAGGCCACACAAAAAGAAAGATCTTTTCCTGCGCACCASTGTTTTAACGTACAGTACCCAGTAACCTCAGCACAACCAGCCACCCTCACAGACTGCCCTCATGCACCACCRTCCTCCTCCCCAGCCACAAGTGCTTTAAAGCCACAGAGGTTTGTCTGCCTTGAAAGGATTCAATATATTAGTTTACAATTCTRGAGAGCAAATTACCATTTCCTACAGCAATCTGGCAACTTCTCCMTTTACCAGAGTTTGAGGTGCAGCTGTAATCCAGAACTCCCCTAAACTGCTGGTGCAGTATTGGTGCCCCAGACAAACCCGCCCATGTGGAACCAAGTGTACTTAAAGAGTTAAACTTTTACACGGAACGAGATAGAACCAGCACAGAATTGAGTATGGAAATTTATTTACGACAATTCATGGTCATGCTGCATTTGAAAACAAAGCACCAAAATGTGGGTAACTGAACATCATCCAACTGTAATCCAGCTGTAATTGCTGCATATGGATATTTGCATTATTCCTGGGGAGAGCACAGCCCAGGACTGCCCATGGCACTGGCCACAGTGGACACACACAGGTGCTGTGGCTGAGGGAAACCTCCTGCACCAGGCAAAGGGACTTCACAACATGCTGGAGCAGTCTCAGAGTAAAGTGCTATAACCCCAAAAATCCAGCACCTGACATGCTCAAGTCAAGAACACCCCAAGACAATTTTATTAATTCATTTGTTAGGTCCAGTTCCTTTCCCATAATCACTCTACTTTGTAATTTTCTAAAAATCCTCTTGTCTCAGGGACACAAGGGAGAGGTAAARCGTTGTGGCCATGGTAGGAGCTTTTCCTGTTGCTGAAAAGGCATTAGCAATAGAAATTATTATTTGTCAAAATCCAATCAGGGAACTAAATACTACTGTAATTTCAGAAATGTGGCTACAAATATTTATTGTCAACAATAATAGACTTTCCAACTGCAGATTTAAAAGCCAGAATCAAGCCTTAGGCAAGTATTTTACTATATGTGAAGCTGCAATAAGGTTTTATAATAGATGTTAAAATTTCAATGAAAGCAGGTGAAGGGGTAAAGACTTAAGGGGCAGAACCTTCCTTTTAAACTTGCACTTTAAAAAAGAGCCTTTAAAAAACTAAAACATTTTACTCCAAAAAGTCTTATAAAACAAAGGCTGACAAAAAAAAAAATTACAAGTCTCAGTTACTTAGGTCACTAATGGTAACAGAGACATTCTGAATTCTGCAGCAGACAACTCAACAGCTCTTTACACTGAAACTAGCTCAACAGGTTAAAACACTTGAGCAGATGAAAGAAATGGTGGATCCAACTGGAACAGGTTATTTTAGACACTGAGCCACCGATTTCCCTTGTAGTAAGAGCAGAGAAGATGTATTTCACCCAGTGCCCAGCCCCTTCCTGGGGTCCCCCAGCAGCACAGGGAGCGAGGGCCCTTCAGTGCAGCAGACACTGGCCAAAGCACCACACAGCCCCGAGGAGGATCCATCACATCCTACAAACACTCCAGGGGCTGCTTTCAGAACAGCAAGGCAGCTCTTGTGCAGGTTACCAAAGATTTCCTCAGAAAAGCAAACTTTTTCTGTACCATTTYACCCAGTATACGCACATAAAWAAATAAGCACACTGTACAAAGAGCAGCAGCAATATAATTTAAACATGCATCCARCTACAAACCATATATACAGAGAAACAGGCCTATACAAACAGAACAGGACCACTTTATTACATTAGAATTCTGATGGAGTTTTTGGAGGAAATCAYGGCAGATAAAGAAAATCAGACCAAAGGAGGTGTATGTTGTTTCTGAAAGTAATCTGTTGTGAAATGTCACACAACACCCCATCTTTCTCTAACAGACATCTACTACAGTTCCTGCTACACACAGCTCTTCCCACAGACTCCTGGACTGCCTTCCTGTTCAGAGGTAGATTTCTGTCAATGTTTTGATATTGCACCACATTACCTATCATGTTCTTATCACAAGGAACAACTTGCAAAAGCTAATTTATCTAATTCATGGGCATAATCTCAWTGTGGGCATTCAGTGCAGTAATCAAACTCATTTGCACTTGAAAGAAAACATCCCTCCAAGTGYAGTGGTTTGTTATTTAGGTGGAGGTCCAATGGAAAACTGCAATTATTAACAGCTTCMTATGAAGACAGCTGTTTCTTGTCAGCAGGATGACACTTCACTGCMTCTCTCCTTCGCAGCCTTCCTGGTCTAGCCAATGCCAGGTCTTGCCCTGCCTTCCCTGATGCTGCATCCCATTCCATTGTGTCCAGGTTAAATATAGATTTCAAATACAGAGTTTTTTGCAGGATTTCTTAATCACACAAGCAGTTGTAATATTAAAGAAATTTAAAAGAAGATTCATTCAAACTGCATGAAATGGTTAAAAAAGCCCATCGACACATTGAGGCTGCATAAGAAAATCTAGAATTTTGCTAGCTTCAAACAGCCATTAATTGTGAACAGATCCGATGCTACAAGGAAAATCTGAAGAAATCTGTCAGGAGCCCAATTTCTTTTGTCCATCACATTCTTGAGTAACTCTCTGACAACTGGGGAAGTTGCAGACAAGCTGCATGGCAGTACCACTTCACAATGTCTGTTAAATGAACCTATAGAATATTTATAAAAGTAAGTGCATCAAAATTCATTATGCTGATGTATTGTAACTTTGATGAGCTTACAAGCATTGCTCAGTATTTTTTCTCAGAGGCACCCCACGAAGTTATTTTTTGCAGAAGTCTTTCAACATGGAGACAAATGAAAGAACAATCTGGGCATGTTTCACTCTCAGAGAGAAGCCAAAATGAACAGCACCACTCCTCCTGGCTGCAAGCTGGCAGAAAACTTACAAGGAAAGAAAGTTCTCTTTTTGTACCAACCAACATATTTGGAACTATTTTACATGAACCATTTAGCTTCCCAGGTTCAGTTTCTAAGAAGCATTCTGTGACATTACATCAGTAASAAATGGTGGCTAGTTTAGAACTGAGTATTTTTTGCTGAATTATGAATACAAGGCTTATAGAAAYTAATTACATCTCTTCATACACTCACTTGTTCTTTAAAAGGGCCTTTTCCYTAACAAGGCAAATAAATCCCAAGTTACTTCACACCAACTGCATCAATACTGAAATTCCTGTTGACTGTTTTCCTGTGATAACAGGGATTGCAGACCTACGAGTAGGAGTAAAATCATCTCACCCTCTTGGAGGAGCCCAYTTTGTGCAGTGAACCCTTCACTTCAGGGATTAACTTCATCATGAATTACACTCCCTATCCCTGGCAGAAAGGGCTGATGTACCTTGCAAGTTCAAGTTTTCAAATGAAGAAATCCATTGTATGCAGGAAATGACAAACAGTAAAAGTTAAATGACAGTGGCAGGAATCAGGGCTTTTGGTGACTTCTCTGCTTTTGAAAAGCAAKGTCTCTTCCCAAGAACAATCCCCAGCTGGGCAGAGCTCACTCCCACCCTCGCTGATGCTCAGTGGCCGCGATTGCATAGAGGGGACTCCGGTGCTGCCCTGTAACCTCAACGCAGCTCTGCACCTGCATTTGTTACCATTTGATATCCAAACTGCTCGTGGTTTGATTTACTGCACTGTACGTGGTGTGCAAAGTGTCCTGGACCTTCTTGGAGTCCATGCCCTCCAGCCAGTCCTGGTACATCCTCTGTACATGCAGGTTGGCTTCTGGCAGCCTAACTGGAATTGCAGTGTACACCTCTTCCATCTGGGAAAGCAGGGCTTTGTCTGGTTTGCCATCCTCAGTCTGGGCTTGACCCTTTCCATTTAGGCACCCTAAGGAAAAAAATAAATTAAAAAGCCAAAGGTGATGGAGATTTGATTTCTTTGTTAACTCAGAATTCTTCTTTCACACTTCTCTGAAGTTTTCTCTTTAAACTTCCCCCCACGCTGTTACAATTTGTTTTTACCTAAAGTGACTCCAATATCAACATCATCTTAATGGAAATGAGGTTTCCATATCAACAATYTTTCTCTGCATTCTCCATGGTTTTATGATCCTAATTATGTTCCTTGTCTTTTCTTGCCCTTGACAACCACCATTTCAGAGTACTTCCTCTGAGGTTTGGCAGCACAGTGCTGGCACTTATTTATAGGTTATAAGAGAACAAATAACATTGTGGCTAATTTTAGAAAACTCAATCATTTTTTGAGCCAACCCAGCACCTGTAATTGGTATTTTAGACCCTTCATTAAATAGTGAGRCTTTAAATTACTAAGAAGAGAATTAAGAGGGGAATGGAGTGCCTGCCTATAAGGCAGCTTTCCTTTGAAATTCAAGATATATAGACATAATTGTGCTGAACAACTAGGGATTCACAATTATTCTTACCTCCTGGGCAGGCAAGGACTTCCACAAAATGGTATAAAAACTTTCCTTTTTTCAACTTCAGGACCATGTTTTGGATATTTCTGAAGCCATATGCTGCTGCAAAACGCAGCACTGTCTCMCCATCCTTTTCAAGGGTAACTTCYTGAAAGTCTTTGTTCCTATCAAGAKASACAGAGAACATTTTAACCCCCTGCATTCCCAGAGGAAGAATCCAACTGTGTCAGTTTGTATTCAGATACTCTACAGGGAACAGAACAAGCGTAGCAGTGAGATCAAGGTGAACTCTTCCACTGTTCAAGCTGTATTAAGCAGTTTATTCTATTTTTATTCTATTACGTTCTTAATAGAATACTACTTTACTTTTAAATGCAGGTAAGTTTTGAATGAGTACCACCAGGAGCTGGTTTACAATGAAAAGATTTGCATATTTATAGCCAAAGAGGCAGTTTAGCAGTAACTGCTTCCACTGCAGCACCAATCAAAGCAGGGGAAGTTCCTGGCCTTCAGGAACCAGTTTCTTGCYCAAGAGGGTGGTCAAACCCTGGAACAGCCTTCCAGAGAGGTGGTCAATGCCCCMAGCCTGTCAGTGTCTAAGGGACATCTGGACAAACCCCTTAATWACATGTTTTAACTTTTGGTCAGCCCCAAGTGCTCAGGCAGTTGGACTCCGTGATTGCTGTAGGTCCCCTCCAACTGAGAAGACCCTATTCTATCCTAGCTCACCCATTTTATATAACAAGGATACAAAACTCTAACTTACTTTAATGCTTTGTAGGTGATTTCCTTGACATCCATGCCAAAAAGCTCCTTTGCAGCATGTTTAAAAATGTGCTCCAGGTAACCATCAGATCTGTTCCCATCATGCCTTACTAYATCTCCCTCCTTTAAGTCATCAAACCTTAGGAAACAATAGAAAYGAAGATCAACKTCAACATTTCATTCTTTTACTTCARTAAAGCAGTGTTATTTCTCCCCAGTGTTTTGTAGTACTAAGTGAGAACACGTTAACATTTTTATTTATTACTGTCTGCAAAATGTAAATTATTCAGGACAGCAGTGAGATGCTGAAAAAAATAAATTTAAAAAAAGGATCAGTGTTTTCCATGTTCAGAAGTATAAAGCAACAGTAATTTATAAAAATGCACATTCATCACAACTTGAAGATTTTCTAAAAGAGCCATTTTGGGGAAAAATTATTGACATAATCTTTTTTTTGCCAGTGAGAATATGAAAGTACTTCAGAAGTTAGAAGTCTTTGCTGACAATTCTGCTTCAAGAACTGTTTGTCAGAGTGTGTAACACTGTGCCAATAAACCAACACCAAATCAGTTGCAGTACAGTTGCAATCAGGTTAGAACAGGGTACCCTGAAAAATAAGTACTACACTATGGATCAGGAAAGAAAATGAGAGATCATATTGCAAGGGCATCTCCTGGAAGTTCACCTCTCCCCCAGTTAAAAGCAGCTCTGAAGAGCCCACATGGCTGCAGGGTTTACTGTGCTGGCACACATGCTGGTGACTACCAAAGGCTCTGTGGGCTCATGTTCCTTTYCAGCAAAGGAGAAATCCATGGGGAATGCCAGCTTCAGGAAGAGATCCTCCTCATTGGATCAGCCAAGAGACAGATGATACCCTTTGCTCTTCCAGGTAAAAGCCTCTCTGGATGTGGTCTCACTGCCTTTTCCCAGAACAGCCAGCTCTGCCTGAGCTGTTCCCAGCCACAGAGCCCAGGTGAGAGTTACCACAGCAAACCCCTCACTAACCAGGTGAAGTTTTAAGCAATAGTTTAATCTCTGAAGAGCTGAACTCTGTCTGCCCACTGCATACCACACCACTGCTGGTACTTAAGAACCACTGCAGCTTCTGGTTGGTTGAGTTCCTGGGTTTGTTCTTCTTTTTTTAATAACCTCAGGTGATTTTGTTTCCTGTATGTCTCCCAATTTTTGCCAAATGCTACTTGCTTTAGCTATGTGAGTTGAGAAATCAAAGATAAGTTACTTTATTCATACAACTTCYGCAATACCAAGCACTTTATCATAAATTGCTGCTGTGCTAGGACTTGTTTTAAGAGGACAACTTCAAGTTATTTCAATTTCTCTGCAAGATATACTTTTAAGACCCCAGAAGGGCAAAAAATTATGTCATTAGGTCTCACAGTTGAATCAGTATGATTGGATTAGTCCTTTTAAAAATTAACATTATTTTCCCACATAAATTGAGGGCACTTGGCTTGTTCAGCCTGGAGGAGACTGAGATCAGACCCTACCAGGATCTGCAGCTTCCTTCTGAGAAGCAACTCCAACCTCTGCTCTCTGTGACAGTGACAGGACCCAAGAAATGGCTGAAGCTGTGTCAGGGAGGTTTAGATTGGATATCAGGAAAAGGCTCTTCCCCCAGAGGGTGGTGGGACACTTGAATAAGCTYCCCAGGGAATGGGCAGGGCCCCATAGCTTCCAGAGCTCCACGAGCATTTGGAGGGTGGGATGCACAGGGGGGGATTGTTGGGATGCCTGTGCAGGGCCAGGAGTTGGACTTTGATGATCCTTGTGGGTCCCATYYAGCTCAGGATATCCTATGATTCTATAAATTGGGCTAATAAACCAGGTACATCATCAATAACAACTTGTCCTTACATTGGACAGGCTGATACAGAATTAAAAGTCTGTCTCTATGTAATTATGATATAGAATTAAGTAACTGTCTCTATGTGATTATGTCTGCAGGAACTTTATTCATTCTCAGTCTGTGTGACAATCTCAGGCAGAAGCAATCACAGGAGCTGCACTACAAACACAGCTCTGAATGTGTTCCCACTGACCCACTCAAGCAGGATCCATTCACTAGCTGGAACTGGAAAGGATTTTTTAAAACTTCCAGAGCTTTCTATTTTGTGCAAGACAGCGTATTTATTGCTTCACTACCACCCCTTTGGAAAGATACCAAGTAACATCTGCCACATTCGAACAAAGAGCAGGGAGAGCAGCCTCTGTAACTAAGCCTGAGAATTAAACACCACACATGCTGCTGCCTGAGCCAGGCATATGGGATGGAAACAAAACCTCTCCAATGCTTTGTGTGCTTCTCATCTAAAGCACAGTTCAGTTCTATCTAATCTTGAAAAACTGACTGCTGTCCTCAGTATAAAAACCAATTAATTACCATTTCCTGAAAGGGTAGTGCTTCTGGCAATCTACATGAACATATTGGGGAAGTGGAAATTTACTGTCAAGATGMTGCTGTGAAAGAGAGGGGAGCCCAGAGCAGATGGTCAAGCCCAGGATTGTGTTCCCAGCAGCTTTGTGGGAGGCAGCTGGACAGGGCAGATSAGACTGTTGGGCTTCATGCAAGTTCAAGCACGAGAGAGCTCTGAACAGGGTCAACGCCCCCAGACAGTCACACTTGCTAGTAAGGCTTGTACTTGCTACAGCAAAATGTCTTATTACTGCATTAAACTATAAATAAGGAGCTACACAAATCTTCAAGTCATACATTTTAAAGGATTTACTGTATAAGGATCATTACCTCAAATTATGCGTTTTTTTATTTAGACAGTACATGCAGGGTTATATTATCTGTTATATATAGCAATGAACATCTAAGAGAATATTTTTGTGGGTTTGGCCACTATATAAAGGGTGAAGCTGTGGCATCCTCAGCCTTTGATGAAGGTTTTTTTTTTTTCTCTAAAAAGAAAAAAACATTCTTCTAAGCAGTTTTACGTTTATGTTGAATATGCTCCAACATGTCATTTGTCATTAAAATAAGGAAGCAATCCACAACAAAACTACTTACAAACTATCTACAGCTACTTCAGTCACATCTTTCATAGACACATTTTTCTGTTCCATTATTTGGACAATTTCACCTGTAGGRAAACACATGACATTTTACTTTCAACACAAAGCACAACCCAACGCTGTGCCTCTTTCAGAGATCAACATCCCAAYATCTGCATGTGCTTCATGTCACGTTTTCCAGCTTTTCCTACAGTCAGCTCCCTCCAGTAACTGAGAAGTCTGACACTTTCAGCCCCAAAGAAAARGGGCCTTCAGCTTGCCCAAACTCTGCTTAAACCCTTAGCCTTTCTGCTAGAGCAAGTTTGGAAGGTGATTCCACACTGCAGCATGTGTAGTTTGGACACTAAGGCTAAAAAACAAGATCCTCACCAAAAGGCCACTGGAGCAATGAATTTTGAGTGTTACAAATGATCCCAGTGGAGAAAAAATAATGACCACAGACAAGCCAGACAATCATTTAAAATATGGATTTGCGTAACTTTTAGAGGCTGACAAAATACCTGATTTTTCAAATGAATAGCAACTTAGAAGGAAAGCAAGTGTCACTTGCTTTGTAGAACCTGGATCGTGTAGTACCTGTACTACCAGGAGCACAAAAACATGTACGACATTTTAAAGCAGAAAAAAGCCAACTTTATGACTAAAGCAGATATGAAAAAAAGCAAACTCTGGTGTAAATGCTATTCTAAAAATGGTGCTTCATTTRTATATTTATAGATGGTAAGTTTAAAAAAGTTAACCTGATGTCAGGACACAATCAACTTCTGGTGAATTATACAAGGCAGTGTAGAAATCTTCCCTCAAGGCTTCCAGCTTTTTGTCGTAACAAGGCGCCACAACTACATGGAAAATTTTATCAGGAGACAAGTTCTGTGGAACACAGAAAGGAGAACGTGTGAACTCCGTGAAGAGTGAAAGACAGCTTGAAGGACAAAAACAGTGACATAATCCTCATGCAGGCAATACCAGGAGTAAGTCCCTACCCATTAAATTTAAAGAATGTTACACACAGATAATGATTTGCCAGAAGTCAGCAACGAACTTCCAAAGTCTGTCTTCTGACTTGAGCTTATTCCCTCAGACCACATTTTCTGCAGCTTTTTGATTGCCTTTGAAAGGGAATACAAGTCAAGAGTTCAGAGTTCTGGTTTCTAGTTGTCACTCATTCACCTTCACCCACAGGAAATCCTTCAGAATTTGTCTATCCATGTGCAGACAGCAACACTACCCTACAGAATGGGGCTGCAGCTCCATTTAAGTCTGATATGTAAATAACAGCAACKTTTTCAACACACAAAATTGAGAAGATAAAAAAGGTTAGTTTCTAGGATACAATGCTTTTATTGATCCAAGATAACAGGGTAATTTCCATATTGTTCTCCTCCACTCCTGTTTTGGCTGTGCTGTAGAATTACAAAGGCAGCATTTCACAAAAAACGCTTTAACTGAGATTGCATTTAACTCTACTCATAAATATCTAAGTCCATGTTGCACTGGGGGTGCAAGGATTGCTGCCAGCTCACACTGCACTGGATGAAATGAGGCTCTGTACATTCTTCTCATTATGGACATTTGTAGAGCAGCAGAGCACCACTTCATCAAGTAAAGGACAAATATAATACACTAAGATCTATATTTCAGTATTAAAGCCCATTTTTTCTATTTAGAAGAATATAATGGTAAAAATAAATCAGAATTACTTACCTGCTGTCTGGCAAAGTAGCCCTTCACTAGGGAGCCCATGATCTGCTGTGGAGACTTTGCAGTGCAAATGTGAGAGGTCACCAGGTTGGTGAGTACCCTTTCAGCATATCGGATCCAACCTGGAACCACAAAAAATTACAGGTAGAGAGAAGTGGCCCATAAGCACAGCAAGGGGCAGCAGTTACACAACAGCTCCTAAAAATGATGACACCTCCCCAACAGGTAGGCTGTGGAGGCTCCCCACTTTGGGAATGGTAGGAAACCTCAAGGCTCTGTCAATAATGCTTTAATCAATAATTCACTGTGTCATTAATTATAGACTTAGGGCCATTGTGAACTTCATGACCTATTACCCCCTTCCTAATGCACAGATTTAACAAAGCAGAAAGAACAGGACTYCAGCTAACAGAAAAATTTGACCTTCTAGACCTCAGCCCTTGGATMACCAGACACTACAACGGATGCACTGTTTGGCTGCTTAACTGTAACCTGCTGTTTCCTGAGATTTAATATCCATGCACCCAGYTTGCCTCCCCTAGAACAGAAGAGTCACATGAAAACATTATCACAAGATGCACATGAATTAAGCCTAGGAAAAAATGCCTTCTTTTACTATTGTTAGAGTAGCCACACCTTCAGAAACACCCCCACAYTCAACCACACAGTAACCACCTGCAATCTCTCTGTATGCAACTCTGTGCTCTTAGTAACTCAAGAATGCCCATCCCCTTCAGCATGACAGCTASGGCAAACTATAGATAACCACAGCACCTCCAACATCCACAGCTGTTTTATTATTCCTGACTGGCAAATGAGCAAATCAAGGTATTTAGGGTGTCCAAGTCTTTCTTAGGCACTGTAGCTCTTACTGAAAAGCCCAGAAGCTTTCACAGCAAGGGCTTGGAGTTTTTTTCATCTACTTGACACCTACACTGTGCAGAAGTTTTTCATCTACATGACACCTGCACTGTGTAAAGAAGGCCCAGCCTTCTAGGCAGGCGTGTTGTGTTTGGCGAGGAAAATCATGCTTTGTCTTTAAACAAATTAGTGATTACATAAAAGAGAGAAACTGCTGTACAGTACATGCTGCCCAGGAAGGGGAAAACCTGCAGGTTAATCTTCAAGCTTGAAATCATCACATTCGTAAAAACACCTGGTAATGTTTAAGTCGGAATAATCCCACAAAGGCCAACAGCAGCACAAAACTGGGATGCAAGTCATGTTCACATGGTTTGTCTCTCTATGGCAGGGAAAYAGTTTTCCCAGTGTAATAAAACTTATGATGAAAATGAGAAGGTTCTATGTATTCGGAAAACCCAAGGATCCTCCAGCTGTTTAAGAAGTCCCAATTCTTGTTAATGTACACACTTCAAGCTTAACAGATACTGGTTTTCCCGAAAAATCTCCAAGGCACACATCATTGTCAACAGGTATTGTTTTCTGTTGTAAGAAAAGCCGATGACCACAGATTTATCCATCAGGACTGTGCTGAATTGAGAGACTCTGAATTGGAAGTTTGTCTAGTGTCCACCTTCAACTGGGACTTGAAGTCCAAGACATTACCTGCAACAAAGGACTGCATTTGTTGGTCTTGGTAAAAAGCTGTATTAGCATATTCTGCATGACAGGTACATCCTATTGCTTAAATGGCTTTAGTCTCAAGTACTGTCCAAGTAGAACAAAAGCTGATTAAAACTGTCCTTGTTTCGTTTGAAAAAYCCTTGTACTTAGGATTAATCACCCCAGCACTCCTGCTATGACGCTGATTCTCATAAYTGGAATGTTTTTGATATTGTAGTCATGAACTCCAAGGAAATTTCACTTAATCCCAAGAGACTTCTGACAGGTATTGTCTGAAGCAATTCCTTAAATTGTTTCTGTTCTTGCAGTGGATAGAACAAATGTCTCATAGCTGTAGCTCCCAAAGATCGTTAGTCACTGGTTAATTGTACAGACAGCCTTGGCAAGTAGCATTTATCTGCACTCCACACACATACTRCTGTTTCTGCTCAGTCATCACAGAGCTGAATTCCAGAGCCACAGTTAGGGAAAACCTCAGATACCCCATTATTATATCAGGGTACACCTGCACTCATCCAGACCTACACCCTTCACCAATTCATTCGGATTCTTGGCCATTTGCTGGCTTGTGTTGCCATCAAAGAGCAAGAAAGCACTACAAATCACCATATAGATTATTGCAGATGTAGTTCAAATMATGTTATTTTTGGTGGTTTATTGGGAGAAGATCACAAAGATGCATCTATATATCKGTAGAAGTGCAAGAAAATGAAGAAAACTTTTGCTACTGTAAAACCCTGTTYCTGGAGAAGGAAAGTGACTGGGACAAAAGCATTAGAACCCTGAACAATTAYGTTCTTCCTACTGCTGCTGCAAATCTGCCCCATTGGCTTTTYTGGGAGTACACAGACGTTGGCAATGCTTTAAAACCACTGGATTTTCCAGAGCRAGGGCTTYATGYTGCTCACCAGCTCAGTACATAAGGAAGAGAACTGATAATATTTTGAATTATTACATGTAATATCAGTAGTCCCACTATTGTTCTTTCAACAGAAAACAAATAAAAAATGAGCTCACTTTCTCCCCAGAGAGCAGCAGGAGGTGAACAATTAAGGCAGGGATGATAGAACATCTTTTACCAGGTTCTGGACTATCCAGGCTCTGCCCTTAGCTCCTGGTAGATGTTACACCCCAGACTGCTGCAAAGGGTGATAGGTCTGTGCAAAGTCACTCACCAAAATAAAAAAAAAAAAGTTAAGCATTTATACTTGAGTTCACATTGACCTTGCACCTACAGAAMTATATAAAAACCATTTTGTATAAATACACAGAGTAAACAACATCTCTGGGACAAATATGTGTAATCTGGGAATAGAGAGAAGAAGGAGAACAAGGAACCGAAAATGCATTCAGACAAACAAGGTCAGGAAACACAGTGAACAACCTTACTTTAAAGATGACTAATCAGGATTTTTGCTTTCTCGAACTGCTGACAAAAAAACATACCATGTYTTCAAAATGGGTTTACAGTGATATTCTGGGTTATTTTCCCAGAAATRGAAAGCACCCATGCTTCTGTTAACATTTCTATCACAACAGAGTTGACACCAAAACCAGCACTGAAASCAGAAACTATTTTAYGCAGACCAGACAAGAACAAGCAAACTGCTCCATTAACTATTTGAAAGTATTTCCACTGAGAGCAGCAGATAATCTGAGCTCTGTTTCTAGATGAAGAAAATTAAAATTAGCTCAAAATTCTAAAAAAAATCCTCAGGTTTTGAATGTTCCCTAAAGTGTGTGCAAGACAACACAGCTAAGTAACTGGGGTGTTTCAACTGCACAGGTTTTACACATAGAAGAGCATGYCTGCTCCTGAAGATAAGAGCTTACACTAAGATAACAGTAACAGAAGAGACTTATCTTTTTAATACATATATGTAGTACTGAAAGCATAACCCARGTATTTCCACTAYAAAATACACAGAACAAACAAAAATACAAGTATGATTCAAACAGCAGTATTTAAACTTTCAAYCAGTGACAACAGCAGATTCTGGGGATCACCAACTGCAACTCATCATCACTCTAACATCTCTTTAATGAGTGTGATCTACTTGAGTTATTTCAAGGATAGCAAGAAACATTTTGGTATTTTTATCAGCCTTTTGAAAAGCAACACTATGAACTTTAGGGTGCAGTTGAGAGGCAGTGTTAGGCGAAGGAGCTACTTCCACCTCCTTTTTGATACTTCTTTTTTAGTAATGTGATTGTTACTAGAATTGAAATGGTGCTGTGCTAACAAACAGAAAAAGTAAGCAGTGACTGAATGTTCAGCAAATTTTCAGTTGTTACAAGCACAGGTTCTGCTCGTAACAGAACAMGTTCTCAGGTGCAAGATTCTCAGAAGTGAGACATTTAGTGAGTCAAGTCTGTGACATTTCATGCGAGAATTACTTTCCAAGTGTCAGACCATCATAACCATCTCACAGYCATCACAAGGAATGTCACCTGCTACTTTCCCCTAAGCTTTAAGTGGCAAGTTCTAAACTTTGCTTAAGATAATGGARGTTGTGGGTTAATTATATTGAAGTTCCTCTAAGATTCTTTTCATTGAGGAAACACCCTGYTAAACTTTGTGGTCTGAACAAACAAGCAGCAGCCACTAACTCCTCCATTCCAGTTCTGATTCTCATTTCCAAGCACTGAAATGCACTCAGGATGACCAGTCATACTGGGAATAAATACTGCGTGCTTGGTATCTCTCAAAAACAAAACAAAAATGCTCTAAGTTACGTAAGGCTCCCAAAGGGAAGCCACTCTTTCCTCAGGTCCTTGGTAGTTCCAAGTTTGAAGGACAGGAAGGATAGATAAACCAGTTCTCACCAGGGCAAGCAGAGGCAAACATAGGTAAGGCATGTTCCTCCTGGTTCCTCCGTTGGTACCGCTGCACAAATTCCCTCTGACTCTCCAGAATACTGAAATCCGCAGCTATAGTGGTGTCAAATACATAATGCACCCCTAGGGAAGCAAGCAAAAAGGAACAGGGAATTACTAGAATGTTTTCCACCTCACAAACCCCTTTCAAAGTTCCAGGCCTATGAAAAACCTTGAAGGATCAGTGCATGTATTCTTTCCCTTCGGCAGATTTTCACAAATTGTAGTCATAAATAGAAGCCATACACTGGAAAAATATTTTCTACATGAGTTTAAAATGACCACCAAATGGCTAATGCTGCAAGCAGCACTGCAAACAGTTCTCTGCTTCCTTTTGAGCACTTTGCCATTCAGCATTTATTACTTTTAGTTTAATTGAACAGGATGTCATGTTTCCTGGGTCACATGGAGTGACTTTTGTAAAGCAGTGTTCTTTTCAAGATATGCTGAAGTCACAAAAAAAAAAAATCTCCAGCTAAGAGGCATATCTTCATTGCTAAAGTTTGTCTGCAGAGGTACAGGAGCATATCACCAACACAGCAGAAATCTTCTAGCTGCTCATTTAGTAACATACTCCCTATAAGCCTACGTAACACTGAGCACATCCCCACAGAAGTGAGTGTAGATAATGAATGCATTCTAGGAAAAGTGGGGCCCACCAGAACTTAGGCATGCTTTGAGATGAAAATAATACACTGGGTGAAAAGATGCATCATAAAACTCATGAAAAAAGAATATATACAGATATATAAGGGAGAACACGGTTTATACATTTATTACTGTCCCTTTTCTTTCTTCAAATAAATTTAAAAAAATCTCAAATTTATAAGCAAAATGGCTTTTGCTTTTTATTTAAAATTTTCTGTATAACAGCAAAGGAAATACAGCTTTAACATAAAATAGGCAGATACAACAGTTCTTGTGTGTAATTTCGAATTACAGGAAAAAAACAGAACTGAGAATCTTCTAGTAMTACAGTATGTCAAAAGAACTGAAAGGAACTTAGACTAAGAATCCCTTTCTCCCTCAATATATAAAAAAATGGCAAGTTTGTGACTAAGCCCTCCCTGATTGCTTGGTAATGAAGATTCTGGAGCCAGCACTACAATGTCCTTCTGTTCTGTGACCTTTACTGTGAGCAGCAAATGTATCCAATCYGTTTCTCACACTGGTGTATGTGGCCGTGGTGCCCAGCTGTAATTTCAGAGTGTGGAGTTCAAACTCTGAACAAGGTTGTGCAACGGCACCTTAGCACTGCAAACAAAACATCATGGAATGGAATCCCAGAATAGTTTTGRTTGGGAAGAACCTTAAAGCTCATCCAATTCCACCCTCTGCCATTGTCAGGGACACCTTCCACTATCCAAGGTTGCTCCAGCCTGGCCTTGTACACTTCCAGTGATGGGGCAGCCACAGCTTCTCTGGGCAACCTGTGCTAGGGCCTCCCCACCCTCATTTCCTCCTGACATCTAACCTAACTTTGCTAACCTAACTTTGCCCTGTTTCACTCCATGCCCTCTCCAGCTCTCTTACAGCCCCCTTCAGGTACTGAAGGCTGCTGAGAAAGCAAAAACAACCAAAATGATCCCTCCCTTTCTGATTCACCACCATAACAAACCAAACTTACCAAGACTTTTGAGGAAACCACAGAGTTTCTTGGCTGCTTCATTCACAGAGAGATTGAATTTAGCGGCAAAATAAGGCAATGACTGAGGGCATATAGACACTGCCAACACTTTATGTTTTGAGGTATCACATTTCTGGTAAATAAAACAAAAACAAAGCAAAAAAAAGAGGTCATTATAACAGGGTAAGGTTCCTAGCTTTCCCTTCCTTTCCTATTTCTTAGTCTTATGCTTCAGTGGGCCATATCATTAAAATCTCCATGAAACAACCCTCAAGTTGCAGCAGGACAGGACGTTCTCTCATCCTGACAGTGTTCATCTCCAGTCATCTGTACATGTTTCCTTTCCATAACTCAGGGAAATCCATCCCTCCTAGAACAATTCTATGGTTGGTTTCCACAAGGCAYAAGGAGAGTTAAGGGACAATCAGCATGTATGATGTCCTAGTAAAATAAAATATTCCAGCAAATATGAAAAGAGCTGTATGTTTAAAAATTAATAAATGTTTACAGAAGCAGGGGTATTTGAAGCTATAAATGCAAGCCAGCAAATTACACATCTGATTTTTTGTTAAGGCTCCTGTGTCTTCATCATTGAAGTTGTTGRGGTAAAGTGGCAAYATGGAACTCCCAACARATCAGCATTTGTAGGCACTGAGGAATCCTATGATTCCACACYAGTATGGTGTAGAACTACRCAGCTCTGATGACTGGCATTTCGCTGAGGATTAATCTTGTGTTTTAGCTGGAACATTTTCCACACCAGTGGAACCCTTGGAAGACAAACCAGGAGCATGCTACAGACAAGTGTCAGCCTGCAGCCTGCAAAGGTCAGAGAGCACGGTTTGTACTTATCTACATGCTCTRTAATGACCCTTGAAGGAGAACTCCTGACWCAGRGMTCAYRACTGAGCAAGGACAGYGTCCTTGTTTGGATCCCTGGTGTTGTGATGAAGGTACCTGMCTGCCTTGCTGTTGTAGGCTTCAGGCTCTCTTAACAGGACCCATGTGACCCAAAAGATTMTTTTCTCCCCTTCTCTTCTAATTTTCTCATMTATRTGMCAACATCRTTCTGTAYGGAGAGCTAAACTCYTTCTAAGAAAATTTAAGTACTGTGTAACGAATTCTTATTTATGACGCTTACGTATAAATTAAGAAAAAACTCAACTGTAGTAGCTTTTGCACGTAAGTCTGAAGCAGAACTAAAATAATTTATTATCAGGTTCTAAAGATCTGAGCACTACACGTTGCAACTAATTTCCAGAAAAAGGAGAACTCAGCAGAAAATAAGAAAGCAATAGAACACTTACAAAGTTTGCTAAGGATGTGGACGAAAATATACGTTTGTATATTTTACAATTATATCCAAATGTAGTCAAGTTGAATATATATTTAAAAGAAGTCTACTTTCAAAAACATGTCTTCATAGGTTTGTATAATGRGGATATATTAGTACCAAAACCACCCAGAACACTCCTGGTAATGAAGGTAYGAGTACTTTTAAACACTAAACTACAGAATAATTTGTTAGTGCAGTAATGAAACTATTACACTGCCAGTAAGTTTTCTGTCTGCAGGTACAGTAACTTTCCTCTGGTGTTTATGTTAAATGCTGTGACCTTGCAACTCCAGTACAGAATTATTTTAAGTACTTTAACATTTGTGTTGCCTAACGTTTTTACTTCCTTTTTGGAAAAAACATATCCTGACAAATCTTCATGTTATCTGCCTTGGAAAACCAAGCTGCTTAGTCATTCCATAACTGCCTCCTCTTCACAGAAAACAGTGTGTTATTGTTTGGGTCACTTTACCTTATTAAGGTTGAGAATACGAAAGAACTCCTTCTGATTCTGTTGGAAAACTCTGGCTCCTTCTTCCAATGTCATGCAACTGTCACAAGCTAGGCAGTCGCTAAGGAGTATTTTAGCATTAGCCAATGTATCAAACTCATTTTTCTGGTGGCAAAAAAAAGTAAACAAGTATTTAATAATGATTAAATTATTTTCAAGATCTCTGCAATGAGACAGTTGAAAAGCAAACACAGTGTCATTATTTGGTTTAACACAGGACAATCCATGACACTTGCATAACACCCAAGATCATTTACAGGTAATCAAAATAATTTGTTCCATCCCCTCCATAGCTCTGCTCCTCCTATTACTGCGAAACTGCAAAATGTTTAACTGTAAACAAAGATCTAAATTTAGCCCCTAGTCCATATGCTAGCAACTTCATTTGCACTGTGCGTCAGAGCTGACAGTCCCCATCAACTCAGAAAGCAACTGAGAAAACTTTCCCTTAAACTATTAAAGCTCTAACCAGATGCCCTTGTAACAGCAAGATGGCTTGGGCTCTGTACCACAAACAGAACACAGTAACGGTAAAACAAACAGAACACAGTCCTACAATTGCATTGAACATATACTGTGAGATAAAGAGTTTCACACTCGTGGCTATGACATGATTTGCAGCTCACTTAAGAAGGAATACTTGGATATAAGAAATAAGTAGACATTTTGTMCACTTGTACTATCTGAACTCTTTTCTCCTTATAAGCTCTGTCTCTGTTCTGAAGACTTAATATAAGAATTTTGGCACTCAAAATTTTTAGAACTTAGAATTTCTGTTCTGTGTTTGCATAGTAAGGGGCTCTTATTTTACCTTTCTACAAGATTTCTGATTCACATGTTATGCGACATCTACAAGAGTTCATAATTGTTTCCAACTGCTTGTTTATTGCTATATTTAATACTTGAAAGCTGTCTCCTTATGACTTCTTTGGGGTGCACAGCAACAACAGAATACAATTAGTCTATTACAGGTTTTACAAGAAACATTACCTCTTCAATGCCATCATTTGAACTCAATGCATCAACAGAYGTACTTTGTGTATCATCATTTTTCTGTTTTTTACTGCATTCCTGAAACGAAACATAAAATATGTGGATTATGCATAGSCTGCTCTCCACTAAGAATACTTTTGTRCAACTGTTCGTGTCATTAACCACTGAACGAGTTATTTACACGTTTTTGGAAACGTTCGATCTGCCTCTTCACACGCAAGACCCTGTGTTCAAAGTGCAATTCCACGATGGAAATAATTGCCAGGAACTCCCCTGCATCATCGGTTTTAGAGTTCGGGGCAGTTTGTTAATCTGAGGGGCTGCCCCGCGCAGGTACAAGAGAAGCAGAGTGCGCTCCGCGTCGCCCGGGCACAGCCACGGCCGCATCCCAGCGACAACGCTCCGGGGCTCTCCCGGGAGCTGCCACGGCCGGGCCGCGKGTGAGGACGCGGAGCTCGGTGACCTTGGGGCCGGCGGCCAGCGCCGCTCCCCCTGCCGGGGTTCCCGGGCCACGGCCACGTCCCCCCATCCCCGAAACTGTGTCCCCCCCAAGCCGAGGGAACGAGCAGGACCCGGCCGCCGCACTCACCTTTTTGGTGCAGTTCTCGCACTTCATTTGCGGSGCGGCCGGCACAGCCCGGCCCTGGCGCGGCTGCTGCGCGGTCCTGGCCGCCGGGGCTGCGGGACAGGAGAGAGCGGGGCGGGAGGTGAAACCTGCCCGAATAGCGCCCACTCGCCCGCTCCGCCGCCCTTTGTTGCCGCACCCGCCCCGCCGGGCGGTCCCGGGGTGGGGGCGGCCCCGCCGCGCTCACGTGTCCGCAATTCCCTCGCCCGGAATTACCCGGCAAACGCCGCCAGCCCCCACCGCTGCCCCGGCACCGTGCGGCCTCGGAGACGCGGGGCGGACAGCGCTGGCCACGCCTCGCGGGGAAGCTGCTCCCGAAGCACGGCCCTGTCCCCGCACGGGGAGCGGACCACCGCAGCCCCGGCTCTTCAGAGCCCCCCGCACCGAGGTGACGGGAGAGCGGGCGGGCAGGAGCTGCAGCTGTTCAGCTCCACGGGGGAAAAAAAACCAGCCACCCAAATCCCCCCGACAACCCCACAGCAGCCTATCGGGGGGTAGCGGGGCGCAAAGCCGGGTCCCGTACCTGCCGCCGGGGCTGTGCCTGTGGCCGCAGAGCGGGTGGGGCGGCACCGCCTCCTCCGCCGCCTCCCCCGGCACCTCCCCGGCCGCGCCCGTCGGGCTCATTGCGGACCTGCGCCGCCGCACGTACGCGGAGGGASTCCCCCATCTCAGTCCCCGTCCTAATCCCCATCCAGACCGGGACCCCCTGGCCGCAGTGATCGCTAGGCAGCCGCCCTCCGCGCCCGGCTCTGCGGTATGACAGTGCCCGAGGCTTCGCTGCATTTCCAGAGAGTCCCTGCATATTTTCCACAACGCGCTCCGTGGTCATATCGTACAAAGGGTTTTTCCCCCCTCCCCGATTTTTGTTTTCTCTCGGTAGCTTTAAAGTGAAATGACACTCTGCGAGTTACTAAATACAGCATCATCACCATTTTATTTAACCAATATGCTGCGATTTCCCATTTCTGTAACAAAACACAAGTACCGGCGATGGTGTTCCCAGGCAGGAATCTCAAATCTTCATKCACAGAATTATTAAACAGACACATCAGCCTTCCACAGTCTCAAAGGCCCCGAAGTTTCAATTAAGATGCTTATGACTGCTTGTCTTTCTAAACCTCCGGTTGTAGGATTTAGACAGATTCAATCTACATTTTGCTCTTTTTAACCCCCGGCCACATGAGCACASACGTACAAGCAGACGCCTACAGCTACAAAGAGAAGTTTTTCAAGTGTAAAATGACATTTCAGAAATTACACCACAGAACTTCCAAAACYCATGCAATTTCCTGCCAAAACTGCAACTGTTTCTTTAACACTGGTAAATCCCCTCCTGTTATAAACACATATTATAGTGCTGGCTTTCGCAAATACTAAGATGAGTGCTATGTGTACATGTTGCCTTTTTTGCATATGTAGCTTAGTTATGCAGTCACAGTGGTAAAATCGTCACTGATGGGTTTGTTTCTCTTTTGTAACTCAGATATAGTTATAGAATGCTTGTGGTTAAACTGAAGTGTTATGGCTTGTAATTTAAACATTTCCATAAAGGATATTTTTCATATTATAGCAAAACTATACAAAAGCTGCAAAAAAAGTCACCAAAAAACCCTGAATCAGGCCCTGGCAGGAGTAGTCCTTAAAGATAAGTAGCAGCTCAGAGCAGAGCTGGGGAAAAGGATGCATACATTCACAAAGASATGACGATGCTTAGCACCTTCGGGGTGGGGAGGCAGGCACAGCCACAGAGGTTTGTTACCTAAGGACACAACTTTAAATACTCGTTTATTTCTGTTTTAAGGATTTTAAAGATAATGCCAGAGAAGAATGTAGTGTTTTGTGGGTTTTTTTTTAATTTGCAGACTATGGGTGAGTTATCACTGAGGTCAAAGAAATCAAAAATTCCTTAGCTTTACCACGATGAAAGCAAACAGAAACGTTTTCATGCTGCCCATTTAAAGAAAAATAAACTGATGCTGCTTTACATATATCCTGGAAAAATATCACTAATCCTGGCTTGAGGTAAAAATTGTAATAGCTTTTGTAATAATTTTCTGTGCCTGTTCTCATTCAAAATGCTCTCACATTTCATTTAGCATATTAACCCAAGCTTTTTAAAAGCACCACAACCACTCCTGAGCAATCCCCTAAGAATTTGCATTTCCTACAGACTTGCCGGAATGCAGCATTATCTGACATCTTTCTTGTTCCTTTGGACGAGCATTTTCATACAAGAAAAAGCTGTGCCAACCTCCCAGCTTATTCCACTAGGATACAACAGCTGTAACTGCATTGTCCAATACAGTGACAGGACAGATGAAAGTTCCAAATTAGAAATGTGTAGAGATTTGCACTTCAAGACACAGCTAAAATCCTCCTCTTTCACACTTTGATGATTATACTTACATTTATTATCCAAAATTGATACAGTGATTCTTCAAAAGACATGTCAGTTTTGGATATTTCTGTAACTGCACAGATCATATTTAAAATATTTTTTATCTCACAGAATCCTAGAGTAGTTTGGGTTGAAAGGGATCTTCAAAGGTCATCCAGGCCAAAACCCCTGCTATAGGCAGGGACACCTTCCACTACCCCGGGTGCTCCAAGCCCTGTCCAGCCTGACCTCAAATGTTTCCCTGGATAGGAATCTACAACCTCTCCAGTCAACTAAATCAGTCATCTATTACAGGACTGGATCAAATATATTCCTCTGCACGTATGAAAAGGCAGTGGATTACATCCCCCCCCCCCCCATATTTCTTACATGCACAATGAAAATCAGAAAACTGCATGGAAATCGGAAAGATTTTGCAGAAATATTGAGGACATTTTAGATACACAGATTAAGTATCACTATTTCATCCCTATTTGTTTTAGGAATGCTTGAACAGAATTAATTTCAAAATAAAAATTCAAACAAAAAGAGTAAAAACTTACACAACTGAAGAGTGCACAAGGAATCCCCATTTCAGTACACAGTATATGATTATATTGGTGAAATAATAAGATAAGATGTCTCATTCATTTTATTGCCAAGAGCACTCTCTGCTTCCCATGAGCTATGGATGCCATTTTCCCACAGAACAGTGCATCTATGACCAACCATCACACCAGGCCTGACAACCTGAGACAAGAAAGAACCATCTTGCTTTAAGCTGCTTGAGAACCTARGACAAGAAAGARTCRTCCTGCTTTAATTGGCCTCAGGGAGGTAACAGTTACCACCTTTGCAGGGCTGCTTCCCAAAAATCTCACCATCTAAAAACTTTCCTTCACCAACAGTAGGTAGCACTTAGAGGCATCACTTGCTTTTATGGCCACTGTTGATGTATTTGGCCTCTGTGTCTCCATATAACATTGGAGCCATTCACACTCTGAAAGAAATAGAGAAGTAAGTATTTCTCTGTGAAAACAGTGTGCTGCAAGCAACTGCAAAGACTTACAGGCTTTGCATCAGTCCTGCAAGGCAGTGCCAGCTGGAAATGCCTCCTGGCCAGAGTCACAGCACATGCCACTCAACAGCTGTCAGAACTGGGCAATAAATCYTGCCTACAGCTGGTAAACACGTATTCCATGAAATCAATGCTCTGCAGGCTGCACACACACTGTTCCCATCGAGGTCAGGGGGCACCACAGAGARCTCATTCTGTGGGATGAGCTCATTTTCAACAGGACTTGCAGCCAATTCCATCCAGCCGCAGCTTTTAGTGGCTGCCTCCAACCAGCTGTGGGGAGGTCTCTGGGAATTTATCCTGGCATGTTAGTAAGATCACATGCTTATTGCATAGATGAATTCCTAAGTTTAAGACCTTAGGGAAAAAAAAAAGTATAAGGCCTTAGAAAAGAGTATTTAGGAAAATGCTCTGAAATTAGGAAAAAGCACTAGAATTACTTGTGTGTCAAATTAATTCAAAATACAAGCCAGTTCTGTTCTATCTGCATGTTCTTGGGTTTAGATCAATAACTTAAAAGTARAAAGTGTATTTACTATACAAATAGTAAATAAACAGTTTCACAAAATCTATATTTATATTGTTGAGGAAGAAGTTTACAAAYAGTCAGTCACAAATTGCTCAATGTTTATTTAGGAAAATAGCTTTTGTTTCTGAAGCAAGGTGGTTGGAATTCGTGCTGTTCTTTTAAGTCCAGGATTAAGCTTTCAAAATGTGTTCATTTTTTTATTGGTAGGCATAACAGCACTCACCTACTTCAAGGGTGCTGGTGTAAGATTCCCAAATTTTAGAAAAAAATCTGTAAGAATCATTAATGGATAGCAGAAGCTTACAAGGATCCTTGCCATGTTTGTTTTACAAGASTGTCTGTGTGTATGGTTCCCATGGTTGAAATAATTTGTCTCTAACTTTGTAATTAAATTAAGTCATATCAGATCATCCTACCATGACCTTTGAAGAACTGGAGAATTACAGAGTTGCTGATATTTTTGCAGTTAGTAACATAGTAAGAGAGTGATATGCCGTGTGGTTTATGCTGAGTGGAGGGGACAGATGAATTTTTTAGTTATTTCAATCTGCTCTAAACACAAGAAATCTTTTGTATCATTCAAAATGGCTTAACATTTGGTTTCCAGAGAAACCGGTTGCTTACAAAAACTGATTGACAGCTAATTAGACATAAATTTCTTCCCAGAAGACTCAGTCAGCTGTTTGTTTGGGTTGAGCACATGTGATACTTATTACTTCCTATTTTTCGTCCAAATCCAGCAGCTGGTACCTTGTGATTCACAAGCAGGCCAATTCATTCTTGCAGTTCCTCACTGCCTTTTCCCATTAACAGTTACAYAGAAACTGCACATCAGTTGGTATTTTCCAGTACCTACAGTTAACTGTCTATACCAGGGACTCTGGGTGGTTTTTTTTCCCATCTTCACTCTGGATTGTTATGAAAAATACTGTCTGATCAAAATCTCAGTTCACCAAAATGTGTTGAGAACAGCTAAACAAACTTCTACCATCTCATGGCCCTGAGCAAACACTCCAGAATATACTCATGTTCAGAAAAATKCCAAAAACTCAGAATTTCATTCAGGAAGGAAATTCCTGTGCAACTGAGAGAAGACCAAGTATCATTTGTAGATGAAGTTACACTGACTTACATAAAGGGAATTTAAGAAGTAAAGCTAAACTACAGATGTCTGCACTTAACCCATTGTGCCTGACACAAGCAGTTGCTCTAATGGATTGAACAGAAAWAACTTTCCCATGTTTGACTGAAAAATGAAAGATTTTCCAAATGTAACCTATTTGTTCCTAACAGGAAGGTCACTTAGTATTTCAAATTAATTAGAAACTTTCCTCCCCAAATAACAATTTTTCAAACCCAAGCCTTCAGCTGACATACAATTCACAAAACTCATGGCATCAATTCTGAAGCTGTAAGAATCTCACTGGTATTTCTGCTTTGCAAATATAAATTATGTCCATGTGCCAGAAAAAATGAATTTTTTCAGTGGAAATGCCTTGATAAAGTCTAGGGTTTGACATGCTTTAACGATCTCAGACCTAGGCAGAGGTTAACAGAGTCTCAGAAAAAAGGATACCKACTGGCAGTGGACACAAAGAATGCAGAATTTATGGGCCATCTGGCAAGAACTCCCAAGACACAGAAGAAACCAATAAAGCCAACTCAGCAACTGTGMTGATATCAGCTCCTGCTGTGTAAAAGGTAATTCTGGCAGGGGGAGATCTGTGACCACTAACCCATGAGCCATTGACACCAGAAACACACCCACAGGAAGAGAAAAACTGAGTATGCAGACTAATAAACACGGAAGTGAGAGAATCATTAACCAATAGAAGACAGAATACTAATTAATAAGAGAACCATGTAACGTGTAGCCAATGAACACTAATGTCTTTGTTTGMTAAAATGTGTAAGTAGTTAAAAGTTTTGGCATGCTTGATTTTGGAGACTCCACCTTGCACCCTTTGCAGAATAAACAACGTCTCCTTCGGAAACCAGACTCTGTGTTTACAGAGCTCCTAAAATGAGCAACACCTCCTTACAGACATTCCAAACCCACCTGGCCGCGTTCCTGTGTCACCTGCTCCAGGTGACCCTGCCTTGGCAGGGGGTTGAACTGGGTGATCTCCAGAGGGCCCTTCCAACACCAACCATTCTGTGATTCTGTGATGACTGAGGCACAGCACCAGCGCTTTAGAAACAGTCGTGCTCTAAATGTTACCATGGAGAACGCAGATTTCCTGCAYTCCACAGGGGCTGTCCGAGCCTGGGGACAGCACACAGGGTACCCCTGCTACAGCAAAGGACTCCCTACCCGCCCTGACCCCTCACGCAAGGGGCCATGTCCACCTCACCCAGCGCAGGTCACTCCAACCGGCTCTAGCAAGGCTCTCCCACACACCCAGCCTCACTCTGCAACACATTTCACTCCTCTCTTTAAGCGAGGCTTCTCCTCTTTTTAAGCACCTCTAAAATAAAACAACAAAGGAACATACGGCCACTCTTACTTGGGCAGCATCCGCAGGCTCAGGCGCCATGCTGAGTACCGGCAGCGCGCCGCCATCTTGGCGCGGCGCCGCCCTCACGGGAGGGGAGGCTCATGGCCCAGCCCGTGCCCTCACCCAAAATGGCCGCGGGCGCCTCYGTCCGGCCCTAAGGCGGGCTCTGCGCTGAGGGCGCGGAACGCGGAGGCGGCCGCGGTCCCTTCAGAGCGGCGCCGGAGCCCGGGCAGGTACTACGGGGATGGGGCTGATGGAGGGTGAAGCGGGGCCGCGGGTTCCCCACGCGTGGGGGGACAAAACCCGCGGGTTGGGTGGGTTTTGGTAGGGCCGGTCCCTGCCTGGGGAGAGCTCTTCTTTCCCAAGGGGGAGATCAGGCTCTGGGGAGGGGGGAGCAGGTGCAGGACTGGGAGATAAAGAAATATGATCTCYGTAAAGAAAATTCACCTGATGTGTGGTCCTGACTTGATGGATACTGGCGGTGAAGATTTCTAGATGTTCCTTCCAATGGCTTTTGGTGGTTTGCTCTGAACCGAGAGCTTGGAGGAAGCATAAGCATGATATTTTGATGGTGGAGGTCAATTCAGTGTCAAACCCGACAAATTCAAGCAAAATTAAGTTTTTGAATTTGAAATGAAGTACCAGTCCAAAAATACCTCTTTGTCTGTAATTATAACATTGTCATAGTAAAACTTACGTATTTGCTTAAATGTTTATGATTTATTTATTAAATGTAACTTAAGAAGCTGCTTTGGTGCTTTTTATTCCAARGTCCGTCCCTTGCAAGAAACAGCCTGTGAAAGACAATGCCATTGATGTTGAGTGWCCAGCATTAAACCAAGACTGGCATTTGTCTGGCTGAACTTTGCTAAATTAATATGGGGGAAGATATCAAAGTTTGCAGTAAYGGACTTAACTGATATATGTGAGAATCATGTTTTAAGTGGGGTGTAATATTTGTGAAATACAGCCAGATTTCTGCAGTGATCTTGATGTATTTGGTAACTTGCATTTGATAGCAGGCARGAGTATATACAGAAATATTTTATGATGTATTGAGAGCAACCCAGAGGAGTAATTTGAAAATTAAAATTTGATGCTTGACATCCGGAGGAGATGGAGTGTGTATTATGCATAAGTGCTTCTGGCTCTTTCGGTTTCAGAAGCTCTCAGATGTGCTGCTGAGAGATTAAAATCAAAGGCATGGGTGCTTTTTGTTTAACTGAAAAGACTCAGTTAAGTCTGCTCCCCTGGAGCTTTGTATCCAAACTAGCAGAACTGTAGGAGTGTCTTCTTGTATCCAAGTACAGCAAGTTAACTTAAGGACTGAAAATCACAAACCTTTTGTAACAGCTTGGATGTGCTTGGACCTGCTCTCTCAATGTTTTTCATAGTTATTCAAAACCTGATGAATTTTTCTGGAAACCTGTTATCATGGGCTGCCAACAGCAACTTAATGCTAGCCTTTTGGAACTGGTTCTGTGGGACAGGCTGCCCAGGGAAGTGGTGGAGTCACCGTGCCTGAAGTGTTCAAGGAACATGTAGGTGTGTTGCCTAAGGACATGGTTAAGTTGTGTGCTGGGCAGTGCTGGGTTACTGGTTGGGCATCATGATCCTAAAGGTCTTGCTCACCCTAAACAACTCTGCTTCTAATTGAAAATAGTAGAATAGTAAAAACTTGCTGAAAATGCTGCATGGGATGACCCAACTCTTACTGGTTTTAATTAGCACCTGACTTTTTAGTCTCTGCTGTTAGTTTCTGCCTGGGCTGAAGGCATGGTCTTGTTCAAGACAGATGAACATATTTGTGTTGGAAGCTCCGGGTTATATTCTTGAGGTGGTTTGGAAGATGAGAATGCCATCAATGGCATCAGGGATCCTGGCAGTGCTCGGCTGTGGTTTTAACCCTTCCTGGTGTGTCATCACGGATGAGGGACCTCATCAGAGGTGCAGAAGGCTGCATTGTCTTGGCCCAGCTCCCTGACAAGTCCTTCACACAACCTTTTCAGCTCACAGGAAGAATGCTGTCAGAGATTTCTGTTCCTCTTGTTTTGTTTGTATGAAGGGCTGCATGAATTAGCAATAGCATTGTTCTGGGTTCTTGTTCTTCACGTTTTTCTTCTGGAATTTGGTAATGATAGAAAGGGAGAAACTTTYACCTCCAAAATAAGAAGTTTCTTCCAAGAGTTCAGATTCCTGTTGTAGTTAGGCARGTCTTCACATGACAGTTTTACTTTGTGGTTGTTTTCAATGGACAYATTGCTCTTCCTGTGCAAAAAGACTGTGTTCTTACCATGGACATATTTTATAGTCTAGGTTAAAACTTGGTAAGTCCTGAAAAATGCTAGGAAGGGGAACTGGTGGAATCATCAATGATTTAAAATTCTTACTTTTTTTTTTTTTTCAGGTCCAATGAGGTTTCATGAGTCAGATTTGGCTGTTGGGATTTTCTTTTGAAGATGTACATGTTGGTTGAAAACCGCACGAGTTCCTATCTTCATCTGAAGAGGTCACCTGGCATCCGATCCTGGTCTCTCTGTGTTGGTAAGACCACAACATTCCAYAGTTTATTTCAGAGCTTGCTATAAGGCAAGAGGGTCACCACATAAATTCCTGAAAGAACCCCTAGCAAAATGTCTGCTTTCTGGGCATTTCACTTTCTGGAAGAGGAATGATTGTGCTTTGAACTCTTCCTTTATCGTAGCCACTAAATGAATCTGAAGTCTCAGCTTAGCACTTTCACTGTGAGACTGGTCATTTTTCAGTCTCATCTGCAGAACCTCAGAAGCACATGGATGGAATTTTAAGGGAGTCTGGAGAGATCAAGAGCTGAGAGTTTATTATGTGCCATGCAGCAATGTAAATGTGAAGCTTCTGAAGGGGCTGTGTACTTAAGTTGAAAAACATTTCAGTTTTCAGGAATGAAAAGCTGCAGTGTGGCCATGATGGGGTTGGATTGTGCATGTGGTTGGTGGTGAGCTCCTAAGGACGCTGTATATGAAATGAGAASTCATACATGATGTTCTGAAAGGCARCTTTATAARCACTACTGAATATGCAGAAAAAGTAAACTTGTTAGGATCATACTGAGAGAGCTGGTGGGGAAAATCTGGCATATCCTGCTTTCCAGCTGAGTAGATCCCACTACAGTAATACYACAACATTCCCATTGCTTCCAGGGATGTTGGTGAGATGATCTTTGCCGTTGCAGCAGCCTCTGGGGCACGAGCACTCTTCAGATGCTTCTTCCTCTCTTAGAGAATGGAGATGGGAGTTTCTGACACAACTTTACTGCAGAAGTTTTCTTTTGGCTCTATGGAGCACTTAAATGGGAAAGTAACCGCTGCAAGGTTTGTGTCAGCACGTTCCAAGTTGTACTGTGCGGAGAGGAAGTATGGTGTAACGGTTTGATACAGTCCCTCTGAGGTTCGGTCCCCAGTTGTGTCACAAAATTATTATTTCTGACCCCAGCCCCTGTGGTTTTAAGGTCTGTACAGAATGAAAGTCTTTTTTATACTGAGTTCAGAGAAAAAAGACTTTCATACAGTGATCATGCTGCAATCACATTTGTCCTTTTTTTTGAAAAGTGGTGTTTTTCATCAGGGAGTTTCAGATGTTTTTTGAGCTACTTGTTTGTCCTAATTGTTTCCTCTTTTCTCCTAGGAATAGCCTCCATAGGTTTGGCTGCTGCTTATTATAGTGCAGGTAATGGCCATCACTTTTTTGAAAGAATTGTTTCTTCCCTGTTGATCTGTTTTTCATGCTGATGACACCTCTGCAGCTTCTGTCTGGCCTTACCAAGACAGTGGAGGTATCTCTCCCATTGTGGCATGAATATTAAAATCAGTAATAACTGTTGCCTCTATGACTTACTGTGCTTTAATGCTCTGTTTCTTACTCATCCTCCTTTTCCATTTGCAAGTATTTTTAATAATGATATTTAGTACTCTCTGGCATTTTGTACTTCCTGTGTATTTTATAAATGTGATTAGTTGATCCTCACAGCTCTTCTGGGAAGATAGTAATGATTATTTGCYACTGTAATGAAATGATTACTTTGCCTTTGACGGAAGTTTTCTGTTTGTCTGGAAACTGTCAAATCATCATTTGCAGAGATTACTSATCCAAACACCCTTAGAGATTAGACAGTTACTGCTGCTTCTTCCCCCTGCAGTACAGCAGACTGCACCAAATGCCAGCTGTCTTTCCATCAGTGTGATTTATCCTAGAAGGTGCCCTGTCATTCTGATGCTGAATCCTGTTAGCATGATATTTTAAAACTTACTGATGTGTGGGAATGTGCTACGAATATAACTCATGTATTTTTATTTAAAGAGAAAAATGCAGTCAAAGCTGCTTGAGCCACTAGTTAAATCAGCCTCGTTTTTCTTGAGACATTGCAACAAAGTTTTCTGAAACAATCCTAGGCACCGTTCTAGTGTGCCTTCAGATAAAAGCCTGAGTGAGCAAATTGTTCAGGTTGTGACATGTAAACATTTCCAGGACATAAAATGCAAATGCTTGTTTGTCAAGAGGACCAGTTGCTTCCTTTTATGCAGAAACATATTTGCTTCATTGAATTTTCATTGTCCCTAATCCTTGTTCTCTGCAGCACAAATATTTGGTGTTTGACAGCAGGTTGGCAGTTTTGTGGATGCCTTTTAAGATGCCTTTGCTTATAGAGAAGAGAAAGATATGATGTTACGACCTTGCCAAAAACACATATGCTTATAATTCTGCATGGTTTGAAGCCCGGTGTGAATGAAGTCTCTGAAAAATGTGGMGACTTTCTGTATTTTCATCCTGGGAGAGAGCTGTAAAATAGCTTCTAGTACAACTAAAGACAAAAATGTTCCATCAGAGAAACCTTTCTTCCTTTTGTTGCTTTTAAAGGGAGCATGTTGCTTTCAGGATTGTTCGAATATCAAAGAAGGCAAAAAAAGGGCTAAATTTGTGCTTTTTTTGCATTGTTCAGACAGCTTGGCATGGAAGCTCTTCTATATGGCTGGGTGTTTCTTTGTGGCAGCACAGAATCTGGAGCAGTGGGAGGTAAGATGCTGAGCTCAGGAAATGAGTGTCTGTGTAGGAAGCAGTTGGCAGATGCTGATTCCGGCAGCCCCTGCACTTGCTCTGTCCAAACAGACAAGTTAYGGTTTTGCTTTTGAGGAAACCCTTGGGGTTGCTATGCTGGGACTAGACTTAGGGCAGTAATTATTTGACTACATGAGCATGAAAATGTGATGCTAGATGTATGGATTTTTTTTAAGGGGAGACTTGCCCAGAATGTTTTGTCTGATGTAAAAGAGGGAGGATGACTAGGACATTCAGCTGCACAACATGATTTTGAACTTACCCTTCAAGCTAATGACAGAGCAACCATTAAATAAGGGAGCTCTAACCTTCCAGGCTGCTCAGCTTTTTTTCCTCTGGGACAAGCGTGGTGTAACCTGATTTGGAATCTTGTGAATGTTGATGTGCTGGGAGTACGACTGAAAGCAGTTAAGCCACTTTGTCACCTTGCTGACCTGTGTTGTATTAGAATGGGCAACTCACCTGAAGAGAATCAAACCCTCCTTTCATCAACTGGCAGGGAGAGTTGAGATCTCTGTAAGAGTGGCCCACAGAGCACAGCACTAAAATGTCAAATTCACCAGAAGTGTAAATTACAGGAGTTAAAAGTTWGTGTTCAAATTTGTTTCCATGCCAAGTTTTTATTATGTAAGGAATGTGGCAAGAGAGACCACCACGAACCCACTTTTAATTTTTTCTAGAAGTCAAAAGAAATATGGTAAAATCTGTTAAAACCAAGAGCAAGATTGTGATTTTCATAGTGTAGTAATAGAGGAATGTCTCTAAACTAGGYCTGTATTTTTCTGTTACCAAGATTATTTTCCCATAGAACTATTTTTATTTTACTTTGAAGCATAGCTATTGATAGTGTTTTCAAGAARATCTTTATTTTTATTTTTCAATTTTACAGGAAGCTGTATTTGATAAGAACAAGGGAACAATCTGCCTAAAAACATTCAATCTCTACAAAAAAATACTGACSTTGTCCAAAGGAGGCAATGAACAAGGTGAGATTTTCTGTGGTAGAAAATGTGGTGAGCAGCAGAAGAGATGGATATGTACCTGTTTAATACCTTCTCTCGGGTTCCATACTCAAATTAAGTCACATCTGCTTCCAGATCTGCTTTGTTCCCAAGCAGCAGATGTAACAACCTGCCTCTCAGAGGGCTCAAATGCTTCTTTTCAGTGTGCTGAATGCATCTTGTTAATTATTTTAATCCAAGGAAACTAGGCCTGCACGTTATTTTCCATAATAATCTTAGCCATTCCTTTGGGATATTAATATGTAAGTTTACCTCTCCCYTGGCCAGCCTGCTTAGCAGCTGGAACTGGTGGAAAAACTTAAATTTGGATCCAAAAGTTGATATTCCTGTAATCTCATCTGCTTTGGGGAGCCGGCAAATGTTTAGGTATCATATGCAAACAGGCATGTTACATCCTGCAGCTGTAGAATATACATTGAAAGCAGCATGTTCATTAGGCTCAGTTTAATGCAGTATCTGATGGTTTTGGGGCTTCCTGTTGAATTTATAGAAGTTGCAGTATAGTCTGTGAGTTTGTCAAATCATGGTAAATTGGGAGTTCTATTGCAGACTAAAGTAGGATCCTCTTCCATGTCAGAATTTTTCTTCTGCTTCCTCATATAAATCGAGTCAGCTCTCAATAAGCTCAGAAAGCTGGCCAAATTTGAAATGACCTTAAGCTGAATTGGTTTTTAAACAGTTCATTTTGGAGGTAGAAGATAAGAGAAGGATGTTTAATCTTTCTGAATTTTATGATATATRTTTACACTGGGGAGCTGAGCCCATCTCTTCCTCTTTGATAAGATCTGTCTTAGGTACCATTCATGTGAGGATGCAGAGATCAGCAGACACTCTTAGCAGTTAAATATTTCAGTATTCGTTCAATCTCAGTAGACTGAATACCTGTTTATCTACTCTGTACAGAAAAATGGTTAAAACTACCATTAAAGTAAATGGGAAGCATAAGTAATAAAGGGCTCCTCCCCAGTGCCTGGCAGGCTGTACATCTTGTTCCTTAGGGCCTGTATCAGCTAAGATGTGCTGSACTCACACCCTGTGGATGATTCTTTTGTCGGAGCAGCTCAGCGGCTGTTTGCTGCTGCAGGACTGTCCTGGTTGTGTGGGATCACACAGGTGTCCCTGTCACCTAAGTCATGTCTGGCAGTGCTGGGGGTTTGCARTCATGCTAACAGGCTGCCTTGTTTTCCCTGTCTGTTTGCAGTYGTGGCTCTGCTGAACGAGATCCGTGATGTGAACGTGGAAGAGGAGACTGTGCGGTATTTTGGGAAGGGTTACCTGGTTGTGCTGCGCTTTGTCACTGGATTTTCACACCCGCTCACTCAGAGTGCAGTGTTGGGCTGCAGAAGGTGCGGTGTAGACTTTATAAAATTAGAATGTRTAAAGTGGGAAATGCCAATCATGTGGGTCTGTAATTGCCAACTATTATGATTAAGCTCAGTTTTAGACATAGCTGGTATGACCTTGTGTCATTCAGCTTAACCTTTTAAACCTTTTAATGTTTTAATTTGCAGACATTTGGGTAATACCATCTATCAGGAYCATATTTAGGTATCTAAAATCCCTRCAGTGCTGCATGKCTGCTGGAGTCRCCTTCTTCAGTGGCAGAGGGGATTAATTCTATTTTGCAAACATTCAGTGTATTAGTAAACAGAAAATTATCTTAAGCATTGATGATGAGGAACCTTGCAGCAGGGACTGGGGAAAGGACTGATTTGTTCTGATGCGGAAGGAGTGGCTTGATGTGGCATGCTGTCAGCCATACTCTCTCTGCCCATATGACTTTCCGTCTAAGCAGTTATTCTAAGGAATGAGCATGCCTGTTCTTGTCAGCACCACAGTTCCACTGACATTTCCATTGTTTCTTCTTTGCCGCAGTGATGTGGAAGCAGTTGCCAAACTCATTACTAGTTTTCTGGGACTGGACAGAGTGGAGATCCCACAAGATTCCTCCCAGAGCAGCGAAACAGAGGCAAGCGATGCTGATGAACCACAGGAGTAAATACTGATAGTCATTGTGAACTGAAGTAAGCAGAGGCTTTCACACATCTGGAAGATACTCTGTTCTTCAGAAAAAGAAATCCCTCACAACCTTGACCTGGGCATTTCTCAACATGTGCRTTCACAATGGGATGAGTCTGTCTTAGGGGGCACATTTTTTAGTGCTAAACTGCTTCAAGATCCTGCATGTGGACACTGCTGGCTTTTGAACTTTGTCAGCTCATCAGACTTGTCTAGGAGTAGTTATTTGTTAATGAGTTGGTTTGAAATTACTGCTTTTCCATTAATGAAGTGGAGGTACGGATGTGAACTGCTTACTGCAAACATTTACTGCAGGTACAGTATATGAAATGTAGAAGAGTTAGAAATTTAACTCATAAACAATGCTTGGAGGTTTTCCTTTTAATATATGCAATTAGAAGATGCAGAGTAGTGGCACTTTTATGTTCTCTACTACTGACTTGCCRTTAGATATCTGTGGAAATTAAAGTCTGAGTGCCTGTTTTGGAATTCTAAACATCAGGGTGATCAACCTGTAACCATTGTCTTAACTTACCTTGGACTCACCAGGGAGCCATAAATAGTAAAGGAAAAATTATCATGATGATGATGATGAAAGATCTTGGGGATGTTCTACCCTAATGGTGTTCAGCTTAACTTCTGGGCAGGACAGAATAATCTTTTTCTACACCTCAATGTTTACTATTTAAACTGTGTATTTAGAAAGGAAGCAGGGACTTGTGTAACTTTAGGTAGGGAAAAGACTGTTATCAAACARGGTGGTAGTCTAGTGTTGTTGAGTATTTCCTCACTTGAAATKATACCGAAGTGCTAAATAATAACTTATTTAAGGTAGCTGGCATAGATTCAGTGTTTGACTTGTACCCTTGTTTCACTCCAAGTATGTGGTGTCCTCTGTTCTGACCGACGATTTCACAAACAGTTAAAATGTAACTTTTTCAAGGTATTTCTGAAGTAAAAGCTACCTCTGTTAGTCAACTCATCTAGAAATAGAACTCCATCATGCTTACATTAACATGTCAATACAAGAAAAAAAAATTTTAAGTGCTGTAAGTTCTTCAGTGTGCTACAGCTGCTTGTACTGAAGTTCACTAGTTTTTATTTATGAATCTTAAGGTCTTTAGACCTGATTTAGAAAGTATTTACACAGTTACTTGTAGGATATATGAATGGGGTACGAGGTGACTATTGCCTGCTTTCACAGTTGGCCAGCAGCAAATGTCTCCTGGCAACAGTCTCTTCAGGATTTAAAAGAGCCTGTGTTCTTGTTTCCAATCACTCTACCTCTACAGAGAGAAGGCTCTGAAAAGTTTTTGGCAGAAGCTACGTCCTGTTGTGTGTTCCATCTTGGTCTGAAACTGAGTACCTGCTCATCAAAGAACAGGTTGTACCAAGATTTCCCTTCCAGCCATTCAGGCCTGCTATGTGAGCTGAGAGGCAAAGGCTCATGCTGTCAGTGGGAAGGTACTCACACTGCAGCAGGGAGGTGGCTGCTGATGTATCTTGTGTGCAGCACAGAAGTGGGTCTGTTTCCTTTAAATAAAAAGTTGAAATCACATCAGATAKCAATACAGACCTCTGCCAATACACAATCATGAAAGTCCTCTTGAGTTGCTGGGATAATCGAGGCTTTCAGTGCTTACTCCGTACCACTGGAACTGGGAAGCTGCTGTGTATGAAAGCAATCAGGTTGCAGGCAATTARCTAAATTTGCCTTTATTCTGAAGCACAGCTGTAAGCTAAACATAATCATCAAACCTGTTTAAAAATATTGCAGGTATAACACTTTGTAGAGTTCCTCATTTATATCCGCTGTAATATATGCCCCAGGTGTAATATATGCTCACCTTAGGGAGAGGAAAATGAGATGGAGGATTTGGAGAATGTTTTTTGCCTGCACAGTGTAAAATGAGAATGGTGAGTGTTCYAAGGGCTACCAGTGAGAAGTACTCTCCTAGAGTGTATAATGGTATAGTGTAAGCACAAGGGCTCAGCCTGTGGTAAATGCTGCTTTGTATCAAGTATATTCAGAAGACATTTGTGGTATGCATTGCACTTACTGAGCCCATGAAGTGGACCATGGATAAAACAGACAAAACTACCTGTCTTCAGTCTTAGCTATACAGACTTTTGTTTATATTCCCATGAGAGCTGACATTCCACGGAAGATATAAACCATGCTGTAGGTTCCCAGTTAAAAAACAGCTTCTGAAAGGTACGTCTGTTGGTCTAATCCTGCACTGCATTGTGTGTTCTTCTGCTGAGCTGTTGTGCATCCAGCTTGCTGTGCATTCTTGGTGTTAGTAATGTGTTTACTTGTGGACTATGCATTATCTTATACAAAGACTAAAACAATGTAAATAAGGAAAACTCAGAATCTATAGAAAGGGGAATGACCTGTAGTAAGGTACAGCTTGAAATACATCCTGTGGAGTAAGTTGCATGTTGGGTTGATGTCCAGTGATCACCTCTTTAGAGGGGTTTTCTAGTATCTCCCCTCATTCCTCAGTACCCTGTTGTGGTAGGCAGGAGAAGGATGGCTGCTGCCATGCACTGTGTGTCTAGGAGGAATATTTTGATTCCACAGTCTTTCTCTTGGAGCAGTTGGTGCCATCCTCTCTCATTCCATTTCCGTTGTGCATTTGGCAGCTGTCACAGTACCAATAAGTACAGTTTCAATGGGAACCTGAGTTCTGTAGTCGGAGCTAGTGGGCAGGGGCACTGAGGACATTCTGCCAGGGTGGAGGCATGTCAGGCACTGCTTGGTGATCCACCCAGGAGCATCCTGTGGCACAGATCTCTCAACCTCTGAGCTTGGCAGTGGGACACTGGACTAATGTTATCACAGGCTGATGAGGTTTTCTCTTGTATTTATCTTGATCCACATGTGGAACTTCTTACCTTCAAAAACTTCATCTTTTGTTGGAAGTTGGAAGACATGGCCAGATATAATGCAGTAACTGTTCATGCACAATTAACTTGCAATTGCCGTTTGGATTTGGTTATGGCAATGTCTCTGCACTCCTCAGCAATGTGATGCAGCTTGAAGAACTGCTAATAGCAGGTGCTAACTCAGGACAGCTTCCACACTTTCCTCTTTGGACTGGTCCTCTCTCATCCTCCTCTTCCACTTTTCACTGTTCTGGTGAATGCTGTTGTGGATGGCTTTCCTCACCTCTCTTGGGCCCAGCAAATTCAAAGGCCCAGTAAACATAGCCTTACATGTGCCTGGTGTAAAGTGGCTTGTACCCAAAGGAACGGTGGGAAGGACTGGTTTTGGTTAGGAAAYTGGGTACTCCTAGAAGACTATTACAACAGATGTGGTCATTAACTTTTGCATCTCAGGCCATCTAGAGCCTTGTGCCTGGACACCTGTAGTTTGTATGACTTAGGAATGATTTAAAAACCTGCATAGCAGACCTTAGATTAGATCTAACACCCTGACCCCTAAAATCAACCCTTTCTGTCTGTTCTTTACTGCATGGTGAGTGCCACTTGGCAGGTGCTTCAGCTTATGCTTGGGCAGCACAYTGGCAGTTCCTTGCATGGCTGTGGTGGGATGGGACCGTGGCCTTGGCTGCTGCAGTGAGCAAAAGCATCTGGACAGAGGGAGAACTCCTTAATGTAAGSTGTAACCTCGTATTCTGGTGTCTCACAATGAAATGAAATATTCCATACCTAGGATCAATTGTGYAAGTCTCAAAGAAAATCAGAGTATTTATAGTTGAGTTCTGACTTTGGGCTGTATTTATGAAGTTRCAGATACCAAAACCTCAGCTGGCTTACATAGTAAATAAAGAGYGCTACTTCTGACACTGCTGTAGATTGCTGGGAGGCAAAAATACTTCGGGAAAATGTTTAGAAATTGCTTTTTTTACTTTAAAATTGCAAGTAGAATTTCAGCAAGGCCTTGTTGTATTTTCTTTTTTTTTAAAAAAATCCATTGATAAAATCAATTCTGAACTTGTTTTGCATCACTGTAGTATTTTGTATTGTTTTTTATTAAAATTTCTAAAATATTAATGGGTGTCTAAATCACTACTTGGCAGAGACCTACTTATGGAGTTAATAGGAGGTGGGACAGACTAGAGGAAGCCCAAATACCTTCTTAGAAGTGACCCTGCTGACATTTGCAGCAGCCCAGCTTTCAATTTCAAGTAAGTTCATCCAGCTCTCCAATGGTGAATATATTTCCATCTTCCCTCCTTCAAACCAAACCAGTGTGTCACATACACAAAAAGCAGCAAATTCCACAAACCTTTTGAGTAKCAAAGATTTTATTCAAGTAAAATAAATTAAGATCCTGTTTAGTTCAACCTATGTGACAGGTATACATAGCARTTGATTCTTTTTAGGTAAAAATCTGCATGTGGACATAATCACTGAGGCTCTCATTGAATAAACTGATGCTGTAATTTTACTTCCTGTTTCTCAAGAAAATGTCAATACCAACRCTTAAAAAAAATTAAAGGAATAAATGAAGCACAGAAGTAAATATTTTGAATATTCATAGTGAAGCAACATACTTTACTAACAGACTTCTGAATATTTCCATTTTAGTGATTAATGCTCCAGTAAGGTGCTATACATTATGAAAAATTTGGCATTAAAGCAGAGTAAATGAGCATTTGTTCCTCATATTTAGTAAATTTAGTTATGCCTCAATTTGGGACAAACCTGGAAAGTGCAGGTTGCAGTTTCAGGTTTTACACAGCTAAACAGATGCCTCATTGAGTGGGMTGATCCTTTTCTGTGGGGATGAGAAACTGGGCTTAGACAATGCTTTGGCAGGGAGTGAAGCAGCCCAGTGTGTTAAGGCAGTTTTTTTCTCCAATCCAGGTGTCACTGCCTCAGCAGCTCCCTCTCACCTGTGATGGAATGGTAGGACACAGTTCAGCATAGAGCTGACAGGTGAAGGAGTTACAGTGCAGAACAAAATGACCCAAACTTTTAAGGATCCTAAATATTAGTGTAGAACTTTCTCAGGTCATTGTTATGTAAGAGCCTGTTGCTGAATTTGGAAGAAACTGGGTTTTCCTTTGCCTTATAAGAGAATGAGCTGTGTCTCACTCCCACATTCTGTTAYGCAAGGGGAGCAAACCTGACTTAAAGAGCAGGTGAATTAAGGCTCAGCCTGTGTTAAGACAGGCAAATTACAACAGAATTKAAGTCTATTATGCTAATAAATTCCTTCGTGCCTTCAGGTCACTTTTGTTTAACCACAGTTCTTGCTTCAACTCTCAAGATGACAAACTCCAGCTCAAGGACTAGTTGATGATTTTCACTAGCCATGTTTTTCCAGGGAATGAGTCTGACTAGTTGAAATGCCCTTAATTTTGTGCTTTTATTGCTTCATCTAAATCATCCACCACTTGCTGCAGCTTCTGTAGGCTGGGGTGGACATTCTCCTCCATCCATTCCTCTATAGTACACTTGTGGAAAACTTGTTCCATGGCTGCTTGGAGGTCTTGCACCACAGCATTCCAACTGGAGAGGAGACTGAGCAGAAATGAGAAGAAACAATGACATTTCCAGGTGAGCTGTGCCTCAAGGGAGAGTTGGCTTTCTGACCTTTGGAAGGGAGGACTACCCTTAAAACTACAGGAAAAGAAGCAGCTATTACAAGAACCTAAAGGACTTGATTTTGTTCAGATGGCAAAAAGTTGATGCTGTTTCTGTTTAAGTTCCATCAGTTGGATATTCACCTTATCACAGCAAGGAAAAAGTATAAATTAACCTTTKAGCATGAAATAGCATAATGTCTAGGACAAGTTCTGAAAAGCCCATGGTGACAGAGAGCAGGGGGAAGAGCCCGCCTTTATTCCAAGCTCTGCCTGGAGTCAGGACCACAGTGAGCTCCTACACTGAGGCCAAGCACTGCTTAAGGTGCAGCAGGCTGTACAGGAGTAACAAGGGAGAGGCTTTGGGAGACCTATTTTGTACTTGTTCTCGAAGAATTTATTCAACAGATGGCAGGCAAAGATAAAATTAGAATCACAGAATKGTTTGGGTTGGAAGGAAACTTTGAAGACCATCTGGTTTCAACCCAAGTATATTCTATTTAAAATCATATTAGGGATACTTCATCTGGTTCCCACTGATGTTACTGAGATAATTAGACAAAGAGATAAGGACTCACAACTCTGTACCTGAATGCCCAAAATGTCAGACTTTTAATTCCTCTGTATTGCAAAATAAGTAGAGTTACCTGACTGCATCTGGCTGGAAGTGGTGAATTATGATAGGATGAATAATCTTCCTTTTCCTGTGGTAGGGGCTGAACCAGCCTGTGACATACCTGAAAATGGACGTTAGTGGGAGCAGTGATGAAACAGCAGCATCTGTGTTTGTCACTGACAGGGAGCGGGGTAAAGCTTTAGCTGAACTCCTGCACAGAGATTATGCTTAAGGAGTAAGTTTATTTAGCTTGAATTAGCTGGAATTAGCTTGTGAAAGAGTGTTCCTGGCAGATGACCACCTGATCATCTGCTGCAATGTAAGTTTCATTTCAAGCTCCTTTTTTTGTAATTGCACCATTCAAAATTTTCATTTTAACTTTARGTGGCAGTAAAATGTAATTAAGGAAAGAACTAGATGCTTGAAATATGGCAGCACATTTAGTAATTCTGCTGAAGTATTTTAAATTTTCACCTAAATAATATGTTCTGCTGGTGCAATAGCACCTGAAATGCAGAGCTTGATATTTACATCACTTTTTTTGAGCTGTGGCCCACTTTGAGATGATACAGCTCCAACACTCCTCCAGCCAGGCAGAAAATCAACATAGACCTCTTTACCTGTTCTTTTCAAGAAGTTCATCCACTGATGACTTGAGGTAGAAACTAACTTGKGTCACGAGTTTGAGGATATTGCTCCCAGGAAAGGTCCCCAGATTTGTGCTGTCCAAAGAGGATCCATCAGTTTCTGAACTTACCACACAAGGAGAAGCATCTGAATTCTGCAGCTGGAATTTTACCTCATGAAAGTATCAATTTCCAGATTAGACATTCCCAGAAGCTTTTCCACATTTTCTTTAACCCTTTCAGAATAGCCACCTGGCAGGAGACAGTRGAAATGAGTAAAGGAGCCTAAGGAATCAAAATGTTCATACAAGAGGGGTTTTCTGGAGTATTTTTTCTGGAGTTTTCTGGAGGGGGCTTAGTAGTCCCCCTTCGATGAAGAATTTTTTAAAGGAAAAATGGAAATAAGGAATATATACTCGTAAGTGGGAGGAGGAGCTCACTACCTTTCACACAGTTATCTTGTGCAAGGTGAAGCACCTCCTAGCTCTGAGCTTTCCGTTCAGGGTGCTGAGTATTTCTAGTGCCGTAATTAAAAATCAGGGGCTTGTGGGGTTTATTTTGAAAATAAGAAATGCAGCAAGACAAAAAGGAAAAATTCTGTTGGCAACTGCCTGTAAAGAAAGCAGAAACTACAGGAAGTATTTTAYCAGACAGCATCCTTCCTAGATCCATTTTAAGAAAAATGATTCGTTAAAGCAACTTTTACACATGAGCATGTTCTAAATCTAAACTAAATTAATCTCATTTATATATCACTATTGTTTCAAATCAGTTTGAAAAGCAATTCTACTTCTTAAATTTATTTTTTAATATAAGCATGAAGTTTTTGACCATTTGTGTTAGATCACAATAAACGATGAGTAGTATACAATAGCTGTTTTTAAATAGGCCAAGAAGTTTCTCTGCTCCCATACTTCAAATTTTAATTTGTTGCTCGTAATTCACACCATGATCAGACAGTCAAACCACCTGAAAATATAACAAGCCTGTGCCAACCTTAGGGCAAGGTCACTTCACTCCTAGGCTAGGCATTAGCTGAGAGAGAATAAAGCTGTCAGTGTACCATTCTTTAGTGCCTGCAGACACACGGCCARTGATGGAATTGCCACAGGGAGAAGCTCACACAAAACAGAGAAGTGATCATACCTACAKAAGAAAACATGCATTAATTACACATTTTTACTCTTAGAACATACTAAACAAGCGGGAAACTTTAATATTTAAATCACTAAAATTCAAAGAGCTTTAGAAACATCAGTTTCTGTTTCAGAGAAGGGACTACCTGTCTCTGTGATGTATTCCTCTTTTACTAGTAAGAACAGATACAAACCAAACTCCTTTCTTATGACAAATCAGGGTCAGAGAGTGGAATTCAACTCTCTGGTATTCTCTTAGACCCCCTGAATTGCCTAAAAATGTTTTACTCCTTCATTACATTGACAAGTCTCTTATCTAATTTCATTGTATTTGAGTTCACATCAGACATTCAGATAGACACCCATGCCTGAGCTACACTGTTTATGAGCAGTTCAAGGTRGCACAAAATCCACTGAAGCCTGCACACCCAATCTGCAGCTGGTGGTGTCCCCAAAGCCATTGTTCCTGCTGGTTAGTGCTATACGGCTGACTGGAATGCTGAAATCCACCCTTCATAGTGTGGCGGTGAGGCCCAGCAGTGATTGACAGGGAGGATTGCAAGGTTGCAAAGTTCCCTTCTAAACCCCCAGCTTCCCTGTACCTCTTAGGGGGCTTTTGGGTGGAAATTTACTCCCACGTGATCCTTGGAACCATGCAAAAGGCAGTTCCTTACCTCTGCCAGCCGGTCAGCGCGATACCTTCAAGGACCTCAGCCGGGCTCCTGCTCGCCACCTGCAGCCACTCCAGGTGGTTCCTGAGGTGGTGCCCAATGAGGGTCAGAGACTGATTCACTCCTGTGGCTCCTTTAAAGGCACTTGCAAACCACACCTTGGAGAAGCCACACCTGCGGTACTTCTCTATGAGCTGCACTGCAATGAGACACAAAGAACATGCACAGGATGAGCTTTCTCCAGTTTAAGCACTGACAGCAATGCTGCAGTGAAGGCGAACACAGCTCCAGTTCCAACAGGCTGCTAAGCCTTTTCCTGCCAGRCTTCCAGAATCAGCAAGGATGGGAGATTTGACATCCGCTCTGAGCAGCCTCTTGAGTGGCTGCTCTCCTATTTTCATGTGCCAGTTACTGTATTCCACTCCCTTGTATTGCTACCACGCTCAGAGCTCTGAGCATTAACAAACAGGCACAACATCTGATTCTTCTTGCAACAAAGAAGTATTTGCCTGCACCTTAGATGCCTGGCTGGAGCCTTTAGGAGTTTTCCTTTATATTCTACACAGGTATGAAGGCTTGAAACTTCTTTTGCAGAGCTGTTCAATATAGAGTTATGTGCTCCTATTGGTGTTACTGCAAGGAGAGTTAATGTAACCGTGCTTGTGAAAAACCTGTGGATCTTCTATCAGTGATTGCACAACTCTAATAAAAAGAATTAAGCAGCAGAGAATGCAAGTCATTCATAGGGGAAACAAGCAGAAAAAGAAAATAAATAGCAACAATTATGTGAAATCAAACAAGGGCTGTCCTCATGCTATTAAAGCAATAAAAAACAATTTAGCAAACCATAATGTTCTGGTGTGCAGTGAAGGTATGTTTTAATGACACAATTTTGCTTTGGCTATTTTGCTTCTACCCAGCTCAGCAGAGAAATACAAACCTTTGCCCTCCACGTCTATGTCTGCTGCATAGTCCCATATCATCGGCTGCACCAACTGTGGGACCCCAGACTCTGAAAGAAACAGAATTCTGAGTCATGGAAGACAGCCAGTTAAAATGAGAACTAAGTACAGGTTATTGGTGCAGTAGCACATGACTACAACTATGGTTTGTCACTTACTCGTGAAGTACCCTTTGGCAACTGCAGCCTGGCCAGGACTTGGTACATGCCCAGGGCCACTGTTCTTAGGCATCATGAAACCACTATTATGGGCGGCAGTGACAATTTATCAGAGATCCCATTCACCCYAAGCCCACATCATTCTTAGTCCCTTGCATCTGTCCATGTACCTGCTGGGTTTCACTGGCAGAGCCGCAAGCTTTGGACACAAGATTTACCCTAAATTCAAATATAACATTCACCCTTTCACAGAGTGCCYGGGCTGTGTTTGCATGGAACATAGATTTCCAAGATGGCCTTGAAATACAAATAAAGACACAAGTTTAGCTTTAAATCTTTTTATAATCAACTCCCAGACTAGTTTGAAACATGTGAAAGTGATCCCTAGAGAAACTGCAGTAAAATGTGCAGAAATCCAGTATTTTAACTCCATTGCATTTTAACTTGTTTATCCTGTTATTGTGGCAGCAGAGTGCACTTAGATTCTGTACTGCACTTGTGGAAACTCCATGGGTCCCATCTGCATTTTTGGGGATAATTTCCCACTATCAAAGCCAGTAATAGGTCAGTAACTACTGGATGAGCTGCACAACTTTTCCTGGTACTGTCTAAATCTGCTTAGAGCAGCCATATAAGGTGGCTCTGAAAATGCTGGAACTCCATCTATGCTCACACTACTCAAATTTTTAGTGGTTTCATATATTTCAACAAACAAGACTTGTGATGTCAAAATCCTGGGGCTACCCCACAATTCAGCATCAAAGTCCTCATGACATGGAACATGATCACAAAGATGCTCACAGGGATGCAGCTTCTCCATGTGAGTTTGCAMCACTGGGACCAGATACTGTAAAGAGCAAAAGTGAACATTAGAAGGTGGTGAGAGGCACAGAGATTTAGTCTTGGATCACAAAGGCTAGTAGGTTATTGTCTTAATGTGTAAAGGAAGTCCAACTGATGGCAACCACTGCAGGATGAGTGTTCTGATTGTCACTGTCATGGAAAACTAAACTGTACGTGTTCAGACTGGCCCACAGTCACACAGGGACTCTGTACCAGCCAAGGATTTAGTGTTTCTATTCTCTTGTCAAACAGACCATAGCTCAACTCTTGTCAGATTTGTTGTTTTCATTATATTCAGCTGCCAACCAGGCTGTTTTAACTGGCTGTGTAAACCTGCCTCAGCCCATYGCTGGTCACTCACCTGCCAATATTTGCTCACTCATCCCCCTGAGCATGTCATCCCACACGATGGGTGTCACCATGGGGTAAGATGAGGMCAAACAACTGGCAACTGCTTTTATGTGGGATAAGCACAGCTTTTCTGGAGTGTTGTCTTGCTGCTGCAGCCACTGCTTTGACTCCTCTCCTTCACCTAGGTAGTAGACCTGAAACATCAAGCAAATAAACCTGACTTCTTGTATAGAAATAGAGAAAGTGAGTTTGACAATATTCAAAACCTTTGCCCAGATGAGACCACTGAGTTGACACATTCAAAAGCACCGCCTAGAGCTGAAGACACTGCAAGCATTTCTATCTGTCTGCAGGAGACTGTGGCCATGATTTACATGCATCACTTAAGGGAGTTTTCCTATAGAAACTAAAATACCTGTATATTTGCCTTTGGAAGATTTGTCCTTGAAGTAGCCCTTGCTACCTTTTTTTTACTTCAACTCTAGCAACCCATCAGATTTTCAGTAAGATAAAATGAGGTTCCTATCTCGGGGAAGGAGATCATCCAAATATGAGCCCAGGAGTGACTTGGGAACATGTCCAAGGGTGGCCCAACATACTTGGTTCTATGCAGAGAATGAATACTTTAAAATTTGCTGGTTCAGAGCAGATTTTATCTAAAACATGTTTATTCTACATAAATAGTATTTCGCTTTAAAAAAGCCTACAGCTCCCCATTTAACAATTTTATCAGTTTTCACACAACAAGATACAAAATGCCAAACTAACACGAGGATAGTAGAGTGGTCATAATGATTTCCAGAGATCTGTGTGCCATCAGGATGGTTTTCAGAAACTGGGAAATGAGAAAACTCTTTCTTAAGGAGACAAACTACCAAGGTAAAAAACCCCAACATTTCCCRCCACAAAAGGGATTACTTTGAGTTCTGTTTGACAGAGCAATGAGCCAACATCTTATATCAAACTTACAGAATTCTTAATGAACAGTCTAATTGATATCTCACTTTAAATACTCACTTGACCTTCACCCAAATGCTGAGTTAGGCTTTAAGAAGGTGCTTTCAATGCTTTGATATTACACTCGTATCCATGGAAATGACAACCTGTGCTACTGGAATAATTTAYTGTCAGAAAGACTTTTCTACACTGGCTTCAGTGGTGTTTTTCTGTCCCCAAAATCCCACTCAAACATGGCCTGGGCACCACTGAAATGCAGAAGCCTCAGCTCTTAYTATCATTCCTCAAAAGAAACATTCCCAACTCAAGAGAAGTCCCACCTCATCACATCCGATGTGAAACCACCGCAAGTCTTCGTGCAGGGCCATGACCTGGTCAATCATGGCTTTGACCAGTGCCAGCGAYTCCTCCTTGTGTGGGTTCAGGGCATTGGGCAACACCTTCACCTCCCGGAGATGGGCGAACTCCCTGTGCTTCAGCACAAACTGCAAGGGAAAAGGGAGCCTGGGGAGGAGCTGCAACATGAGGGGACAGCAGCGCCCTGCTGTCAGCAGGCCTCTGAGAGCAGGTGTCCTGCTAAACACRGGGTTTGGCTGTGAGTGGGTGCCAGGGACAGCACAGGGGGGCACAGCTGCTGCTCCACAGTGCTGGGGGTCTCTGACCACACAGCACCTCCCAAGGTGGGTGAAGGAAACAGGAARGTCACTGCAGTGTGACCCTGATGTCAAATCATGCAGCTGGCAGAGCTGGATAACTGGAAACCGGGACTTGGATYGGAAATTTCCCAAGGGAGAATCACAGAATAGGTCAGGTTGGAAGGGACCACAGTGGCTCATCTGGTCCCACCTCCCTGTTCCAGCAGGGCCGTCCCAAAGTACACAGCACAGGGTTGTGTCCAGAGGGCTCTGGAATATCCCCAGTGAGGGGCCCTCCACACGCTTTCTGAGCAATCTGTTCAGGGCTCRGTCACTGCACAGTAAAGAAGTTCTTCCTCATGTGCAGATGGAATTTCCTGGGCATCAGTTTCTGCCCAGAACTGGACACAGTGCTCCAGGTGAGGCCTTGCTGAGCAGAGGGACAGAATCACTTTCTGACCTGCTGGAAATGCTCTTCCTAATTCACCACGGGGTCCCATAGGCCTTGTTGTCCCCCCGGGCACTGCTGGCTCAGCACACCCGTGCTCCCGCCCAGCCCAGCGCAGTCCTGCCCTGCTCAGCCCAGCCCTGCTCACCTCCATGTGCCCGAAGCTCTGCACCAGTGGCACCACATCCAGGCCATGTGCCCGTGCCTGGCTCAGCAGCGCCCGGAGCTCTGCGGGGCTACGGACAGTGACATGTCAGTGCCCACTGCGCATGGCCCCGGGGCACTTGTGGGTACCCAGAGCTCCCTGTGGGTACCTAGCAGAACCTGGGGGGTACACGGCAGTACCTGTAGGCCTGGGGTGCTTGCAGCAGCTCCAGCGGCCCCGTGTACGGGAAGGTGTCCTCATATTCCAGAAGCAGCCCGGTGGCACCCAGGGCACGGAGCAGCGG